TAAATTCTTTTTCATTCCACTTTGGTTCCTTGTGAATAATATTGTAATTCTTCCCTTTTGATTTAACACGAAAGACACACTGTTGAGGAATTTCATAGATATGATCAAACATGACGACTTTTTCTGATTTTAGCCGATTGCAATATAAGGTTACATCCTTCGGAGTAACAATAAAATCAATGTCCACATTTTCTCCTTTACAACTTTTACATTTTCCCGCCAAGTCAAACTCCACAAAACGTGCTGTTATGAGCCGAGGTGACGAAATTGTCACACCATAAGAAGATACCGCAAATAAAACCTCAGGGAGCACTTTTTCTAAGAGCTGGCCATTATTTTCAATTACTGACATTTTTTAAATGATTTTTATAAATGAATTCAAATTTTGAATGGAAATTACATTCAGGGGAATATTTCAGTATTCATACTGAAAATGGGCGTGGCTTTCAAAAAAGTGATTTGAATTTTATAAGTTTAAAAGTTTCCTATGTTAACTAATAATAAATTAAATTTCAAAATTTTTATTTCAAATTAAATTATTACATTTATTGAAATAATTATTAAAAAATAACAATGTTAAGAAAAAATATTTTTTAAATTTTTACTCATTTTTTCAACTTTTCTACATTCTTCTCATCCCAGTCAGCAACAAAATCTTTGAATTGCATATTTAATTTCGCGCAGCTTTCACAAATTTCAAAGCATATTCCAATATTTCCGTTCTCCTTCTGTGTGAATTTATTCTTATCATTGTAAAGTGCATTTGCACATTTTTTGCAAACTCTTATTTCAATCCTTGGTGTATCTTTCATGCGCATAATTTTCCACAGTACACGCGGATTTAGCTTATTATTATTTTTCTCGATTTTTCCGTAGTTTATTTTCGAATTAGGGGATTTTGCTTTGTTGATTATTTCAGTGTCCTTTTCTAACTCTACTTCAATTATCTCTTCCTCATTCTCCTCAATTTTTGGGATTTTTTCTTTTTTCAATCCGCTCATTTTTTATTTTATTTTCAAATTTTACTTTAAATGAATGAAGAAATGAATGCGAGTTGGGAAATTTATTGTCTTATATACTCGCTTAAACCCCGCCCCTTTTCCAATGATTTCGTAATATTTGCCAATTCTCAAAGAAATATTTTCGTATAAAAAGGGGCAATTTCTATAATCTTAAAAGTTTATAAAGTCATTTGATCATTTACATACATTAAAAATTAATCAATAAAAATGAATTCTGTTTTGGATGATATTTCTAAAAAATTAAATTGCCCTTGTTATTTGGTGAGATATAGACTAATGTATCAAGAAAATGCTGATTTGATCGCAAAATTTATACAAGAAAAGGGAGAGCTAGAGACAAATTATCTTGATAGGAATGGAATGAAAAGAAAAATTAGGTGTGATGGTATTACAACAACAGGAGCTCATTTAATCAAAGCTTTCGGCAATTTAAGTTATCCATTTAATATATCGATTGCGGCATATTTCTTTGCTCATCACAAATTAAAACTTCAATACCCATTTCATCAATGTGTAATTGAAAGAACATGTACAGAGAATGGAGTTTGCGAGAGATACTACCCTCTTGAACTTTTATGTTTTGCTCCTACATCGCCTCCGTCTACAATAAGCGGGTTAACATTTAAAGCACGACGTACGCATGCAACTTCGTCAACTTCAACAATAAGTCTCAACAGTCTTACAATATCCGACGGAAGCTTACCATCAACCCCCACTAATGGGAAATCTAGACCAGGAATATTGTGGATCAAAATAGAAGGTAAACCTAACCAATGGGAAAAACGCAATATTATGATTAATTAATTAGAGAATTTTATTTTATTTAAATATTTATTAAATAATTATAATTTACAATAAAATATTGTTTGTTAAAAGTTTACAAATTTTTGAAAAAATCTATAATATTTGAAATTGGAGGTTCGTATAAAAATCGCCATCTTGAATACATCAAGTAGTCTGTTCTATTATGTTTTCCAAATTTGAACTTTTTGTCGTAAAGGTCCCAACGTAGAATCCAACGTCCCATATTTTTTATTTCTGCTTGTCTGTTTAAATCTTTCTTGTTCAGGTAATAGATATCCTTTACAATCCATTTCATTGAGAATTTTTTCCCGTCATCAGTTTGATTCATTGATTTATCCTGAATTTTTTCATTCCTACTAGCAAATATTGGTGGCGGTGTTCTCCGCCATATTGGTATAGGCGTCCTCCGGTATAATGTACTCACTAATTCTTCTCGCTTCCATGGTCTGGCGTCCCAGTCTTCAGCCAATAAGAATGGTACATTAATTAATATGATCAAAAACTTTAACATTCTATACAATGATTTTATATTATAATTTGTTGTTAGCTCTTGTTTAAAGTTATGCAGCAAAGAAGGTGTAATAATTTTTAAAGATTTATATTTAAGAAAATTAATTAATTTTTAAAAATGTATATTTTATTTTAATAATGGTAATTTATATCAATTTTAAAATTGTTAATTTGATATTAATTGTTACAATTTTAGATTTTATTCTAATCAATTTTCAAGATATACTGTAGATATACTACAGTATACATTTGTCCAAATGTTCATCCCCACACATTTAATGGGAATATTCGTTCTTTAACTAAATTTTAACATTGCTTCTTAATATCACATATTTTTCATGATTTATATCTTTTAAATCTTAACTTTACATTAATTGTATCTTCGTATGCTTAATTTTGCAATTTTATTCCCAAAATCTACATTCTCTTTGTCTTAACTTTGCATGAATTGTATCTTCTGACTCTTAAATTTGCAACAGTTGTGTCTTCCAACGCTTAACTTTGCATTTTTACCCCCAAAATCTACATCTTCCGTTGCTTAACTTTACATGAAATGTATCTTCTATCTCCTAACTTTACATGAATTTCATCTTTTAATCCTTAACTTTTGTCAATTTTTTCCAACTTTTAACTTTACAACGAATATATCCATATATTCGGTTCAGATTTTTAGAATTTTTGAAATTTTTTGAAAAATTTAAGTTTCAATACAATAGAGCCCTCCTTTTATTCTGTTTGTACAGGAAATTTGGTGGTCGGAAACAGGCTTACTTCATTTTTACATTTAAAATAATTAATACTACTAAGTTGACATTTTGAGACTTGGCAAATAAAGACTTGACGAAATGAGAGTTGGCATTTTGTCACTTGCCAATTTGAAAGTTGGCATTTTGTCTTTTGATATTTTGAAATTGGCATTTTGTCGTTTTGACATTTTGAAAGTTGACATTTTAAAATAATTTCTTAATTCCCCTTATATTTGCAATTCCGCCATTTTTTTAAAACATTTTAAATTTTTGTAAAATTTTGAAAATTTTATTTCTTCCCACATTTTTTTTATTTAATTAATTATTTAAATTTTATTTAAATTTAATATTTTTTATTTTTTAATTTAAAAATCCCCGCCTATTTTTAAAATTTGAATTCCCGCCAAATTTTGAAATTTGAATTCCCGTCAACTTTTAAATTTTGAATTCTCGCCAAATTTTGAAATTTGGCATTTTGAATAAATCCCCTTACATTTGAACTTCCGCCCTTTTTTTAAAATTGTTTTATTTTTGTCAAATTTTTGTAATAATTTTTATTATATTTTAATTTAATTTAATTTTTTAATTATTTTCAAGAATTCACATTTTAATTTTAAATTTTTTAAAATTTTAATTACGAAATTTTTAAACTTTTTAAAATCCTCCACCCCATCCCCCAAAATATACAGAGAAATTAATTTTTATAATTTATCCCATTATTTTATTAAATTTAAATACATCCCTATGGCCGAATGGATAAGGTTCCCGCATACGAAAAAACACGACGGTGAAGGTTCGATTCCGCTCGGGGTTTTTATTTTTTAAAATGTTATAAAGGGCTTATATTATTAAACAAAAATACACCCATTAAACCTTTTCATATTTTAATTATAACTTCCCACCCCTATCACTTATCAATCACACTCTTATACTCATCACTGTACCTAATCTTCTCTCAATCAATCAAAACATTTCTGTAAATATTTCCCTTACCTCTGCCCAATAGATACTTGAAAAACCAAAAAAATTCGTTTCTTTATGATTTTACCGCATTTTCACCCATCCAAAACCTTCTGACTCTCTTCTAGTATTTTACCGCAATTCCAAATATTGCTTTGAATTTTTTTACCCTCCAAATGTTGCAACAGACCACCCAGACACCACAAACATCAAACCTGTCACTTCCCACAAAAAATCAACCAAAAAGCAATTAATCATCAATGATTAATTACCCTAATTAATCATGATTAATTACCCTCAAACCCTTCCAAAAACAAAGGGTTTGCGGCAAAGATCAAAGGAAAAACACCCCCTATAGCCTCAGGTTTGATTGACAGGTGATCAAATGGGGTGTAACGTTTGTAACGTTTGGGGTGGGTTTACTACTAAATTGGGGTAGGTGAGTGTGGGAGAAATTTACCCATAAAATATTTTACTTCACAACTGGGATATGTTGTGGGACATCTTGGAAACTTAATTCTCAACTGGGACAGTTGGGTGTCGGACAATTCACCAAATAAAATTATCAGCTGAGACAAGTTAAAAATTTACTTATCAATTGGGGCATGGTGGTGGTAAGGTAAATACCCGTACAAATTGTCACACTTCACAACTGGGACAAAAGGGTGGTGCGGGAAAATTAAGTGAGACAAAAGGGTGAGACAAAAGGGTGGCCTTTGATTTGCCGACACATCCCTCAATACAAAAGGGGGATTACTACTAGATTGGGGTAGTTGAGTGTAGGGGAAATACAACCAATAAAATTTTGCACCTTATAATCGGGACACATTGGAAAGTTACTTCTCAAATGGGACAGATGGTTGTGGGGAGAAATACACCCATAAAATTTCCACCTCACAACTGGGACAAAAGGGTGGGGGTTACTACTTTAATTGAAATAAAAAAAACGTAAAAATACCCAGGCAAATCCATATTATATTCCCAATAATGACGCAAAATATCCACAAACTTCATCCATAACCGGCAAAATCCAACCAAATTTTTATCAACTCGAGTTAACAAGCAAGTTGATAGTCGGCGAGTTAGAGAATTTTGAGGGGCAGATTTGGCGAGGGAAAGCTTGCGCTAAAAGATTCTTCTGATAAAATTTAAAAATAAAATAATACAAGTAATTGATCTCTATTCGAGTCATTCCCACCAAATTCAAAAGCATTCCCCTCCTCCATAATAAATTTGAGACAATCTGACAAGCCTTCCTGAAACATTTAAAAGTTTAAAAATAAAAAAATACACAAACATGGCTAAAATCGTCGTCACCAAAAATGTCCAATTTTGGGACGAGTTCAAAATTCACAGCAGGTTTATCGAGTAAAGGACCCAAAGCACTTGCCGCCATAGATTTTGTTTCTGTATTTGATTGAGGTATTAAAGATTTGACTGTTTGGGTTGAATATTCTTCTTCCTTATGTTCTAATAATCTCGTAAGGGTGTAAGCTAAAAAATAATAAAGTAAATGAGCAAAAAAATTCCAAAACAAACAAAGTTCGTAGCTAAATTCGTCATCAAAATCAAAAGAAATTTTCCAAAATTTGGCATTTTCTATTTCAAATTCGTCCGTTGAATCACCAGTAAAAGAATTTTGAATAAACACAGCACTAAGACAAAATCCTCTGATTAAAGAAGGATCAATTCGTTGAAGAGTAAATTTGTGCGGACAATTTGTCCCAGCATCCATGGATAAACCTTTATGAAAATTGTCAACATCGTTTGATAAATCCTTTTTAAAATCATATTGCAAGGCAATCTAGAAATATTTTTGAAATGTTTATTTATTTAAATAAGAAAAAATACCTTAATTTCATCATCAAGACAAAGGGGGGAATCCTAAATTTAATTAGAAAAATTCAAAAAAACGCAAAAAAATACAATTTTTTGTTTAAACATTTCAACAGCTCCATCCAAAGTTTTGTGCCTGCTTAAGCATTTGTTGAGAATACAACCTTCAAAAGTTGTACAGCAATTCTTGTTCTGCATCGATCCAGTTGAGGCACCAGGATAGAATTGAAAAAGGATGGGAAGGTCGCTAAAATGAATAAAAAATAGGCTAGCACCTCGTCCCAGACATTTTTTCCCCTTGACCCGTTACCCAATATTCTGGCAAAAACAACGACCTGGCCCTGAAGGCTATATCCCGGAAAACCCAAATCACCGACACGAAGGCTCGGGGTTCTACCCTAAAATAAATCATTATAAAAAAATTTATACAAATCAATATTTGCAGTAGCAACAGTCACAGCTGATTGAACCATGTTGATTACACTGTCAGTAAAATATTTTTTGTCGTTCATATAAAGCAAAATAAAATCGGAATCAACGCCATACTTTAAAAAACATAATTTTAATTTAAAAAAAGGCTGATACCTGTCTCGAAATGACCGAATTTTCACGAAAACTGCCATTATCATCAAGAAAAGCTTTGGAATTGTTGCATAAGTAATTGGATCCCTCATCGACGTCAGCACCAGATATAACTTCAATGTCTTCTAAAATCGACTTAAATAAAAATTTTAAATTAAAAAACCGTCAATTTGAAGAGATTTGGATTGTTTAAAATAATCGACTTTAAACTTGTAGGATTCATAAACAACTTCTTTGTGAGCGATTTTTTGAATGTTGGAACTTGAAGCATCCCTTAGTGTCTAAATAAAAAAAATTTCCGAAAATAAATTTAAACCTTACATTATTTTGATTTTCCACTTCGTTTTTCAATTCATGCAGAACATTCTCAAGTGATAAAACAAAAACCTCAAAATCTGTGATGACAGTAAAATCGTTTATTTCGAATACATCTCCATCTCCAAGAATATTAGAGGAACTAGAATCAATTTGTTCATTCATTTAGTAAACTGAAAATAAAAAAAACGTTAAAAAATCTGTAGAAAATTTTAAAAAAATGAAAATCAAGCTACAAAAAATAAAAATTCTAGGCCTGATTGTGACAAAAGTTAATAAAATCAACTGGTTTACATTTTGAAATAATAGATTTTATGAAAAATTTTGCGGGAAATAATGAATTAAATAAAAATCGATAAAAGATTTTTTTAATCATTCTGAAAATTTTTTGATTTCTGGAGGCCTCCAGGGTTACACGTGTTTTTTTTCATTTTTTTTTATTTTTTATGTGTTTCATTCGTATTTTTTCTATGTTCCCCGCTTGCGCACGCTTAAAATAAAAAAAAAACTTAAAAATTAACAAAATTTTCTAAAAAAGTTCAATTTTTCAAATTCCAGCCCGTCCTGTGCTGTAGCAGATGGTGGTGGTGGTTCGACTGTTTTTATTTTTAAATTTTTTTTCTAATTTCTGAAAATTCAGGGTCTTCATGTTCTTCATGCTCAACATGGACAAAGGATTGCTTGGCCCTGTATGGAATGGTTGGCTTGTGGGTGTGGTTGTTTTTTAAATAAATTTTATAAAATAAAATAATTAAACGGTGAGGTGATTTTTAGCAAGTTGTTCGTCTACGGCACTGGGCAGAGCAATGGCCAAATGATGATCTTCAATTGTGGTTAATTTTGACCTCTTTTTTGAAAAATTTTGAAAATTTTAAGTTCATCTAGCTGTGCTCTACGGTTTATTTTTTGTTTTTTCTTCTAGAAATCAATTTGTTCTTCAAGATGTCAACATGGTTGGGAGCTGCTTGGACAATGGATGGAGCAATGTATGGCATTGGTGTGGTTTTTGGTGTTTTTTAATTTGGGGGAAAATTGGGTGGGGGGATTTTACAGTTAGGTGTGGTGGTCGTCAACTCGTCTACATGGTGGCACTTCAACAACTTCAACCTTCTTGGTAAGCTTAAAATCTCAATTGAAAAATTTAAAAAATGCAAAAATTAAAAATGCTTGCGGCGCTTTGCTCCTCTCCATTTTTTGTCCTTGTCCAGTTTTGTCCTTGTCTTGTTTCCTTTTTTAATTAATTTTTAGATTTTAACTTTTTATACAGGAAGATGGTTGTCAACATTCAATGGACGATGGAGGAACACAAAATGCTTTGTTGGAGAAAGGTTTTGAGGGGAAGGAGAACATCCGGATCACAGATTTCCAGGACTCGCATATCCTCTTCTTTGTCTAATTTCAAATTTTCTGGCATTCTGTTTTTATCGATTGTTTTAAAAAATAGTGTAGTCAGAGAAATAGACAAAGTTTTTCGAGTCTTTACACGGCTTTTTTGAGTCTTCCTGAGAGATCTTATTTTAACTGTTCTGGTTTGACTATTTTTGCTTTTCAGATTACTTAATCCTATTCTTAAATTATCACCTTTTTTTGACTAAATTATGCCCAAAAAACATAAAATAATTGACGAGATTGAGGATGTATCACCTTCAACAAGTAATAGCGGAGTTAATCCTCGACGACATTCAGCAACTGAGCAGCGTCAAACTCATCATGACAAGAAGATGTAAGACTTTCTTCTTGTTTTAATGATATTACTTAATTTTTAGGCCTAAAAGTGCTGTTCGAGGCGAATTGAAAGGATTACAAGATTCCCTTTCCAAATTTTTTACACCTTCTGATATGCGTCGTTCTCGTGCCCACAGTTTCAAAATTGGGATAGATCAGGTTTTTTTATATTTAAGTCGTATATTTTTGACAAAGTAGGGCTAGATCAGGTTTATTTAAATGTTGTCTGTTTTTGAATATAATTTCCTTTGCAGCATTTGGAAATTGATGTTGACAACATTCCCAACAAAATGGTCTCGAGGAGCGAGTCAAAGAGTTCTAGAAGTATTATTTTAAATTGTTCCTACCTCTTATTTTTATTTTTCAGCTAACAGTATTAGCAGCCATATCTCGCCCAAATCTCCTCACCATCGTGATCGTTTAGAAGACGCGTTAACCAAGTATTTCACTCCAAATCCAGATAAGAGAAGACTACACAAAGAGGGAGAATATTGGCAGTTGTCTAAAGGTGGTGATTTTACTAGACCAAAAACGGCTTCATCTGAACATGGTTTTTTGAATCTTTAATTTTAATTTCAACCTCTTTTTAGCCAAAATTTGCGAATCAGATGGGATGGAGGAAGACGAATCTCAAAAGGTAAAATATTTTTTAGAGTATTCAATTTTTCTCTGATTTAAGGTGGTTTTACAGCCAACGGATGAAGTTACAGCTCCTACAATCAACAAAATTCATAAACCGGTAAATAAGCAAAAAAAGGTGCTTGAAAGACGTGAGAATAAATCAGCTGCCATAAAATCTGCCCAACTTATTAAGAGAGCATACAAAGGTTTTTAAGACTTAAATTTGTAAGATTTCAATTTTTTGATTTATAGGAAGTCGAGATTCTCGTAAACAATTGAAACAACCAATTTCATCATTTCTTAAAATCTCATCTGGTGCTTCTCTGAAAACTCAGTAATTAATAAAATAATTTGTTTTAATTAAAAATTATTTTTTCAGAGAAAATACAAGGCCATTAAAATCTTCAATCTCTTCTACTAAAGCCATTAAAAATGATATTTTACCCAAAATTACTGATGAAGATCGTCATCTTTTTGAACAGGCTAGACGACATATTTTAAAGGTTTTTAAATGTCTTTTTGAGTTTATTTAAAAAAATTTTAAGGATCTTGAATTGGCTAATACAGCATTAAAAATGGATGATAAATCGATTTTTCCACCAAAAATACGAATTCACTGTTATGAGATTGATACATGGTTTTCTGCTCCATATCCTCAAGAATATGCTTGTTTGCCTGTTTGTTGCTTTTTAAGTATTATTTTTTTATTTAATAATTTATAGGTCCTAAACATTTGTGATGCCTGTTTAATGTATTTATCAGTTCCTAGTTGCCATATGAGAAAATGCAAACAACGTTATCCTCCTGGGAATGAAATTTATCGTGATAATGATTTTTCAGTATTTGAAGGTTTTTTAATAAGATTAAACTTCTAAGAATTTTTTTTAAGTTGATGGAAATTTGGCAAGAGTTTACTGTCGTAATTTGTGTTTGCTGGCTAAATTATTTATTGATCACAAAACTTTGTAAGGAAATTTTTGATCGTTTTTTAATTAAATATTTTATTTTTAAAGATATTTTGATGTTGAACCATTTTTATTTTATGTGTTAACGTTAAATGATGAAACTGGTTGTCATTTTGTTGGTTATTTCTCTAAAGTATTCATTTTATTTTTAAAAATAATTTTTAATATTTATCCGTTCAGGAAAAATTTAGTCATCAAAAATACAATTTGGCATGTATTGTAACTTTACCTTGCTATCAAGGACGTGGTTTTGGCCGTTTTCTTATTGAATTTAGTTATGCACTTTCTAAACGTGAAGGATTAATTGGAAGTCCAGAAAGGCCTTTATCTGATTTGGGAAAATTTGCTTATCATAATTATTGGCTTTACAAAATTTTTGATTTTTTCTGTGAACGTTACAAAAATGAAGAAGATGATGATTTTAAAGATAAAATATCTTTAATCGGTTTGTTTGAGTTTAGATTTATTTTTAAGATTCTTTTAGAAATCTCGAATTTAACGGGAATTTCACCTAATGATATTGCTGAAACACTGGCAGAAAATTTGATGCTTCCAACAAAAGATTCAAAGTATTTTTTTGTTTATGAGTAACTCTCCGACTCTTCGGAGTAGGGAATGTTATGGGTCGGAGTTTGCCTGGGAGGGCAAGTCGGGGGTTGTCTTTTGGTCGTGCTCCCAATTATCTATCATTATAGCATGGGCAGTCTATTAAGGTGGGTGCTGTGGGGATAAATCTGACAGATGCGCTTTTATAAAAAGCTCAAACTGATCTTTTGGGTCTGTGGATGGGGAGCTACCTTACTTTTATTAATTTTAATTTTATTACTCTCTATTAATTTTTAGGACATCCATTGTTCTGGACAGAGCTGCTATTGCTGCACATAGAAAAGCAAGAGAGACCAAAAAGAGAATTTTACTTGATGAAAGCAAATTAATTGTAAATGATTTTGTTTTTTAAATTTAATTTTTTTCAATTTTTAGTGGGAACCTAAAATTTACAGCCCTTCAAAAGATTTGCGTGTTCAATCACCTTTAATTACGACATTGCCTGTTACTCCAATAAAAGATGGTTTGGATGATGAAGTTTTGATGGTACATACTGTTCAAACAAGTGATTTAAAAAATAAAAAGGTTTGGAGGAAATTTTTTCTGAGTGATTTTTTTCTTGATTTTAGACCATTCCTGCTTCTACTGGAAGAGGAGCACATAAAACATTAAAAAGAGCTAATACTACTGCAAATAAAAGGACTCCTGTTGGTAGGGGAAGAAAGAGTACAAAAAATAAAGGAGCGAGTGGAAGAACAAGTAGTATCAAATCAAGGGATTTAATGTCATCTGAAACTGAAGTAGATATTGAAGAAGGCTCTTCGTCAAATGTTCGAAAAAGGGGAAAGACTGTGAGAAAAGGTTTTTTCTTGGTAATTAATAGTAAAAATTGAATTTTATTTTTTAAGTTGCTAGTTGTAAAAATGAAACAGAAAAACATCATAAAAATATTGGTTCGTCATCAACCGATGATGATGATGAAGGAAAAATTCCACAAAATAAAAGAAGATTGAACCAAAATTTAAATAGAACTGTTAGTTTACCTCAATCATCAATAACTCCATCAAATTCTTCACAAAATATTTCTTCAAATAGATGTGTAGTTTCTTCACCGCAAGTTAACTCCAATACAAATTTAATTTGTGATAAAGAATCAGCAACAGCAAAATTAAATTTGTCTGATCAAGAAGAAAAAAATAAGAAGACTGTTGAAACAACTGATAGTGAAAATGATGGGACTGTTAGGATGAAATTGGTTGATAATAATGATGACAAAAAGGTTAAACATTTTCAAATTTTACTGTTTTGTATGGCCATGTTGCTATAATACCAAGCTCCGAAATACAAACCCCCCAAAAACCACACCGGAAAACAAAAATCTTGTTTGTCAACAACCATGACACAGTTTGGTATGACACAGTTTGGTAAAATACCAAACACGCTGACACAGTTTGTTATTTTGACAGATTTTGGGAGTTTGGTATTACGGCGCGCTCCCCTTTTTCATATCATTTTTTAAAGAAACAAGTTGAATCTGAAGAAACTGACATTTCATCCCACCATTATTCACCAACAACGCCACCATTACCTAAAAGAAGAAAATTTTTGTTGAAAAGAAAAATGCGTGATGGTGGTATTCAAAGAAGAAGAGGAAATAGTTCTCCTTCTACATCTTCTGATGACGAAAGCTCTTCTTCTGGATGTGATTCAGAAAGAATTAAAAAGGATTCTGATGTGTTAATTTTAAGTGAAAAGAAGGAGAAAAAATCAACGTTTCAACGAAGTGAGTATAACAATGAGACTTCAGCAGAGGAAGAAAACGATGATAATGATGAAGAAGAAGAACGTTCTTTTTGTTCTTCTGTTAGTCCACAACCATTAGGAGATAGATTACCTCCTTTAAAGGAACATGAAAATTTGATTAATATGGGAGGTTTGCTAAGAGATTTTTTTAATTTTTAACAAAATTTTTTGAATTATAGGAGAACCTGACACAATTAATATGGGTGGAGAGCCTGATAACGATGATATTGATAATGCTACTTCATTTTCTACTGTTGGTATTTCAAGTTATAAAGCTCCAGTTCTTATTACTGCACATCCAATGGAAGAAGCAGATGAGGAATTATTGGATGAACCTCCAACAGTTGAACAATTACAAAGTTTAAACAGTGGTGAACAACAACAACATTTATCAACAGAAGTTGTTGGAGGAGAATTTTCACAAAGTTTAAATGTTATGGAGGAAAATGTCAATAGTGATAGAAATTTGGATAATGGATTAAAAAGCTTGACAGTTAATGATAAAAAGTCGACATCCTCGGGAACATTGAAAATTCCATCAATACGAAGTTTGTTTTTAATTTTTATTTTTTCCATATTAATTTATAGTTGATTTTCAACAAAAATCTTGTTCACCATCTGATGTAGCTACAGTCGAAATGCCAGCATTAGACGCTGCTGAACGTCACATTTCTCCAGCTGAAAATATTTGTCGTTTTGGTGAGGATGAACTAGTTGAAGATGACGCTCCACCAATGTTATCACCTCAAGCTCATAATTCTGAAAATTTGACTTCCTCATCTTCTAATAATCAGCAATCTGTGAATACTATGAAAACTTTAATAACAACAACAACAACATCTTTAACCTCAACTACAAATGATTCTTTTAATAAAACTTTTGAGGCTAGCCATAATAATTCAACAATTAATGAAGGATTACAAAATACTTCATCATCTTCCGGATCTTCTGGTGGTTGTGGAGACATGATACAATATAATAATAACATTTCTTGTGAACAAATCCATGATGAAAGTGATAGTTTTACTCTAATACTTCAAAAAGATTTGGTTTGGAAAAATTTTTTATTTGATTTTTTTCTAATTTTTAAGCTAAAAGTAAGCAAACCTGTCAATATTCTACATGATAACCAACAAATTGACGATCAACATAGTCCTCAAATTCGTGTTCGGTCAGAATCAAATGTTGAATTTTGTAGTCCTTCAACTGCTAATAAATTACAAAGAACAAGCAGTTTTAGTGGTGGAGCAGCACAAACTTCAATTTGTGCAAGAGAAGCTATGGTTGTTAATAATTTCAATACGATACAACAACCATTATTAAATCGTACACCTGAAATTTCACTTCCTTCAATTCTTCCAAGCAAAGCTAATGTATTTTTTTAAATTTTTTTTTTCAAATTAATTTTCTGATAATTTTTAGCTATCACCAACATTTCAACAACCTCAAATGATGGAAACACAACAACAACAACAACCTTTTCTTCAACCTCCACAGCATCAACAACAAAAGCAGTTTATGAGTAATGTTCAATCATCTAATACTACACAATTTTTTGGTTTAAAATTTTTTTTACTTAGGGTCAGATTACACGATATATCGAAAAATCTCGTTGATTTTTGTTCAAGATCTGATTCAAGCCCGTAGCCAGAAGGATAGCGGGGGGATCCCCCACTCTCTCTCCCCGAAATAGCCTTCTAAATTCCCTTTTGGCCCCCTTCCGAAAAAAATTCTGGCTACGGGCCTTCCTCGGTTAGGTCTGATCTTTGCCTTTAAAATAACCTTGGCTTAAAAAATTTTTTTTATTAGATATGCCATATGATCAACAACAACAAATCCAGCAACAACAACAATTTTTACAGCAACAATCAAAAATACAGCAATCTCAATCACAATCTAATACTACAACAAATATGTCTACAGAATCATCAACTGATAAAAAGAAAAAGTCTAAAGGGAAAGATGGGAAATCTAGTTCTGATAAAAAGGTTTTATTTTGACTTAACTTTATTCATAATTTTCTTTAAATTTTTTAGCGTTCTCAAAAACAACAGCAATCTCAACAGCATCAACAGTATGTTCAAAGACAGGATCAACAGAATGCTGCTGCTATTATACCTTCAACTTCATCTATGCCAAATGTGACAGGTTTTTTTTTATTATTAAGTCTTTATCAATTGAAAAATTTTTTTTCAAAGATCCCGTATTTCAACAACAATGGGCGGCTGTAAATATGGCAGCACAAGCTGCACATTTTGCTAATTATTATCAACAGCAACAACAACAATATCCTTATATTGCTGGTGGGTCAATTAATCAAAATACTAACAATATTGGACAAATGAATCAATACATGTACAATCAACAACAAGCTTGGCAAGCATGGCAAATGCAGGCTGCAAAATTCCATCAACAGCAGCAACAACCAACAGCTAATTATGCTGCTAATTTTCCGTATGCTGATTTTTTAAATTCTTATATGGCTAATGGTGGAGGTGGAGGAATAAATAATGGAGGAATTCCAGGAAATAGTAATACTTCAGCATCAGCAATGATGATGCAACAACAACAGCAGCAGCAACAAGTTTGGAATAACAATAGTTTTGGTCAAATTCGAAATAATAATTTTTCATCTTTCCAAAATCATCCGAGCTTTTATCCTCCACATCCCCCACAAATGTAATAATATCTACCCAGACTATATTATAAGGCTTGGTTTTGATTATGTAAAAATTTTTTCTGGGGTTTTTTCTGTTTCAGCTCCAAGCTTTATTATCTCTTTATTTTATTACTCCTCTTAACAATACCAAAAATATTTCTTAAAGAAAATTTCGGTTGGGAGTTTCGCTAATCTATTAACCTTATTTTACATATTTTTATATTTTGATCACTACATATATATTTTAACATGCATCATATATATTTTGATATCTCATCAGATTTTGACAATTTTACATATATTTTTAAATTTATATATTTAATATATATCTCATACCAAATAAATTTTAAAAATTTATTAAATTGAAAGGATTTTTTGTGAAAGAGTTTTTGTACTCAAAATATTTTATTATTTTTATTTTTTGGGAGGGTTCTGGGTTGTTTTTACTAAAAGATTCCCCAATATTAGAGGCACAAAAAAAGTTAGGCGCATTTAGAGATAAAGTAAGTGAGAGAATAAAATGAAAAATAAAATTGGCGTTTTGGTACTTTTCCTGCGTTGCTTTATTGATTTTATATTACAAATCCGCTTTCTTTTTAACCTTCCTTTATAACTTTTCTTTTTTTAGCAAAATATGTATTTTTAGTTGGCTATTTTATTATTAAATATAAATTTGTGTTTAGAAGAAGATGGTTGATTCACTTTTTGATGTTCGAAATAATTATTATCTTGGAGCATATCAACAATGTATAAATGAAGCACAAGTTTGTTTTTTCTATTTTTATTTTAAAAATGAATTTTCCAGATTGTAAACTGTAAAACAGACGAGGAACGCTTAAAAAAAGATTATTTTCTTTATCGTGCCTATATTGCATTGAAAAAATCTTCAATTCCGTTGTCTGAAATTAATTCAAATTCTGGACCTGAACTTGTTGCTCTACGTCGACTTGCTGAATATTTTAATAATGGTGAAAAAAGGTTTGATTTTGGTAAAATTATCGTTTATATGTCCCTTTTTTCTTTCAAATTTTTTCCTATAAGTGTGCAGAATGTTCCGGCTTACTTCCCAATTCCCCTTATGTATTTTACCACAAGCAACCATAAGGATTAATTTTTTTTTAAAAGGTAAGTCTGACCATTCTTTACATTCATAGAAAAATGTGCGTGAGAAAAAAATGATACGTAAGCGATAAGTTTCTCAAAAAATTTTCTGATCTATCGTCTGTTATTCAGATCTGAAATTATTCGCCAAGTTACCAGTGAACTCGAACAGGTAGACTCTGAAGGAAATGAATATGTCAACTTAATAAATGCTACAATATTTCTTCAGGAAGATGTTCGTTTTTTTTTAGAAATTTCAAAATTTCAGGATGCTGAAAATGCTCTTCGCTTTATTAGCCGTATTTCTGATCAAACTTCTCTTGAGTGTTTATCAATGAAAATACAATGCCTTTTAAAATTGTGGCGAATTGATTTAGCTTTGGCAGAATTGAAAAAAATGCAAGAAGTTGATGAAGATGCAACTATTGTACAATTGGCAACTGCTTGGGTTTATATGGCTATGGTTTGTTTTATTTCAATTATTCATGTAGAAGGTCATGTTTTTAGTAATACTATAGTAAAAGTAATCAATTACGCAACCTGCATTTTATGTCCTTTTTTAATGGGTTGCGTCATGTGACAAAAATAATAGTGAGCGTGTTTAAATAACGATTTATTTGTCCTATTTTTTAATATTATTTTTATGTTAGTTTAAAAATATTTGGGACTATCAAAGTTAGAATTAAGACGGGGTACTTTTTGTAAAAACCCAAAACTTTACTCAATTCCAAAATAGTTAAAAAAATCACATTAACCCCTAACGACTGTTATTTTAAAATTTTGAAATATTTTTTATCAATTAATTTTTTTCAGGGAAAAGACAAGATCAAGGATGCATTCTACATTTTCCAAGTTTGATTTTTTATTAAGACTTTTTTTTCAAAATTTATATAGGAAATGGTTGACAAATACGGAGCAACTCCAACATTGCTAGTGTCTCAATCTTCATGTCTTATACAGCAACAAAAATATGAAGATGCTGAAAAATTGCTCATGGTATTTTTATTTTTTAAAGAAGATTTCTTGATTGGGTTGACCAAACGAAGACCCTTAAATTTTCGTAGTTGTGGGGGCTTACCTGAGGAATTCCAACCACGGAACGACCAATTTTTTAAAAATATTCAGATTTTTCAAAACATTCCAATTTTTAAATTATTCCGTGTTTTGGTCGTTTGTGATTTGGTATTCCGTGAATTGTCCGGGCAGGGAGATAGCCCGACACTAAGTTCTCATAAGTTCTCATCTCACACACTAAGTTCTCACATTTTAACATTTGAATTTTTTAAGGATGCCCAACAACGTGATCCTAACAATCCTGAAGCTTTGATTGGACTTTTTGTTATTGCTCATTTCTTAGGAAAGCCTATTGAGGTTTTTAATTGATTTTTTATTCTAAATTTGTTTTTAAAAGGTTTCAAATCGTTATATGAATCAACTAAAACAGGATCATCCAACACATATTTGGACAAAAGATTTTATTGCAAAGGAACAAGAATTTGATCGTTTAGTTTTAACTTGAGTTTTTTTTGCTGTGTGATATTTTAAAGGTTTTTTTTAATTTAAAAAAATATTGTGTTAAAAAATATGTAAAATTTTTTAAGGATAAATTATATTTCTGTTGTTTTTTCTTGATTTTACTTCAAGTTTTTTTAATCTAAAATTTTTACTTTTTCTAATTTTTAAATTTTTTTCCTAGATTTTTAAAGGTTTCAGACGTTTAAATAAAAATTTTATTTTAATGGAAGAAATTGTAAACAAAGTTGTTGACAAGGTTTGTGAAGAGGATGCTGACAATGAGGGTAAGAAGATAGGAGAAGAAGGAAATAAAAAACCTGGAGAAGAAGAGGAAAGATTTGTGGAAGGAGGAGGAGAAGGAAGATTTGAAGAAGTAAATGGAAGACAAAAAGAGGAAGAAGAAAAGGAGGAGGATGGGGAGGAAGGGGAAATATTTGAAGAAGAAGAGGAGGAAAAGAAGGAAGATGAAGAAAAATTGGACGAAGAGGAAAAGGTGGGAGAAGTAAAGGATGGACAAAAAGAAGAAGAAGAGCATAATGAAGAGGAGGAGCAAAATGAAGAAAGAGAAGATGAGGAAGAAGAATGTGAAGAGATTGAAATAAAAAGGGAAGATAATGTAGAGGATGAAAAATTTGTTGAAGAAGAAAAGGAAGAGGAAGATGTGGAGAACAATTTAGAAATTGAAGAAGAGGAGGAGGAAACAACGGACAATGTGAAGGAAGATGATTATTCTTCTCGTAAAAGTTCTAGTGGAGAAAGACAAAGTTTTAAAATTATGGAATTTATTGACTTTGATGAAATAAAAAAAGAACATCAAGATGTTGAGGAAATTGAAGAACAAAAGGTTATTTTTAATTATTTTTTGGACACTTTATTTTCGTGCTGTTTAGGCTTCCACTAATTTGCTGACTCAAACTGTTCCTCAAGCAACTACAAACACATTGACCCAATCTAATGGAGGAGGAACATTTAATTCAAGCATTAGTCAGCAACGTCCAAAGCGAAACCGTGCCCGTCGTTTGTATACTCCTTCGCCTCCACCACGTTTTGGAGGAGAGTCTAAAAGGAAGAGGGTTTGTCTTTAAGTGTATTTGTTTTTGTCATTGTATGTATATGACCCATTTATTCGCAAATAGGAATGGGGGCTATCTTGACAAAACTGAGCAACCGTCTGCTCAAGTGAGACGCTTGACGAGTTTGCACAAGCACCTCACCGACTCTAATAGGTTTACTTTAACCATTTTTGAGCTTGCGATAAAATTGGGTTGTGTACATAAACCGCACAAGTTTTTTGACATTTTTTCACAAGTTTTTTGACACTAAATTTAAATTATTTCAAGGAATCGGATGATTCATTAGCCTCTACTTCATTGCAAACTTCTTCTAATCCAAAAAAGATTTCTTGGGCTAAAGAACAACCTCGTCAAGTTCATTCTGCTAATAAACCTCAACAACAACAGCAACCAGATAATTTTACTCCTCATCCTCCTCTTCCATCACAATCTTCATCATCTCAACAACAAAACATGGATTCGACCGGTTTGGTTTTTTAGAAAAATTTAAAAAATTTTTTTCTTAATTAGTTCCAAATTCTTCTTCGTCATTGTCATCTTCTTCTCATTTTTCTTCACATCCTCCACCTATCGTTAAATTTGGGCATTCAATTCCTCAACCAATGTCTAAACCGCCAAGTACTTTTGGATATTCAAATCAACAGTCACAAATGCAAACAGTTCAACAGGCACAACATGTAGTTGTTTTATTACGTCAAAATGAAAAGTTGGCTAAAGAAGTTGCTTCCTTGAAACGTTTAAATCAGGTTTCTTTTGTCATTTTTTGGGTGTCTTTGATTTTCTGGATCTAATTTAGTCAAGGACCCACTAAACTTGGGTCAATTCTTTCAATTTGTCTCGCTTTTTGGGTTCGTAAATACTTGTGATATGGGTCTCTTAAAATTGAAAAACTATTATAGGACCAAGTTCATTTTTGACCCATTTGAGCCTCTTGCTAAACTATGGACGGTTTTTTCCAATTCGAAAAATTTTGATAAAAATTTATTCCCATCATTTCTTAAAGGAGCAACAACAACAAATTCAAAGTTTAATAAGTGCTAATCGTGAATTAATTTGGGCATTTAATGAAAGTCGAAGAGAACATGAGGAATTAATGAAACAATTAAAGACTTTAATGGCTTCTAATTCTAATAAAAATATTAATAATAATTCAAATGGGAATGTTGGCCAACAACAAATGGGAAATACTAATTTTAATGTTGCTTCTAATCAAAATATGCAACAACAAAAACAACAACCTCCAGTCGTCCCAAAAATGGAAGTTGTTGTTCCAAGACGTATCTTAAGCAAAACTATTACAAATACAAACAAATCGTCATCTGACTTACAACGAAGCGAAAAAAGTTTGAAAGAAATTTTTTTGTTCTAATAATAAGGCAGTATCTCCCCATAACTCCGCAGATATTCTTTTTCCTTCCTTCTTCTCTTCTCATAACCATTTTTAATTTTTATGCGAAATATTCCCTAATTATCAAATTTCTAAAGGGCTTTTAAATTACAAAAAATTTTTTAAGAACTTCAACAATCTAATGAAATTTCATCATATCAACCAACAGTTTTTGCTCTTAGTAAACCTAAAAAATCAAAAGTTGTTGACAATAAAACGACTCTTAGAACTTCAGCAAAATCACAACAAAAACCACCACAGAAACAGCAACAACAACAGAAACCAAAATTACTTTCCAATATTCCTTCTTCTGAACAAAAAAGTTTGGTGAATTTACCTTCTGTTGAAGTAAAAAAGGAGAGGGAAGATGTTGGAGAGGTTTTTATTTTAATTTAAATTTTTCTGAAATTTTTTTTTCTGTTTAGATTATTAATCGAATATTGCCACAAAATGTTGAACAAAAGAAACGTACAAAAGAAGAAGAAATTGAATCTATTAAAGAAGAATTAAATATTTTAAAATCTAATCCTGATTCAAGCAAATTTCTTGGACAACGTAGACCTGCATTTTTTACTCCGAAAGAATTTGGGGTTTGTTTTTGTTTAAAATTTTTTTGTGATTTTTTTTATTTGCCTCAATTATAAGCTCACCCGTGATGAAGTGAAATTTATCTTATAATCAAGGGGCATTAAATAAGGTATGCAGGTATATACATAGTTTAGGAACTCTTTTTACCTTCACCCCTATACAATTGTAAAAAACAAGGGGCTAACATCTTTTTTATTGTGACAGTAAAAAAAAGATGATGACCTTCTATTGCGAGGCTCCGATTCCTAATGCTATAAGTGATATCCTTTTGGTTCACAATGATTGGACCAAAATTGTGGCTATTGAAAGTTAGGTATACATATACGGGTAAAGGAAAGGTTTTTTAGTGTCTTAAAATATTGGGGATATTTATAAAATAGTGAATCTATAAAAATGAAGAGTTCGAAAAAAAAAATTATTTTTTTCTTTCTTAGGATTGGCATTCTGTTGTTAGTGGAGATTTACGTAAACAACTTGTTTTAAAAATCTTCCAAGCTTTATGTCCAGAAGTAACACAAAAATGTATTGATGATTATAATAAAGCTTATCCATCACGTGTTGATTATATAAAAAAATCTGTCAATTTTTCTTTTGAAACGGAAAATGATTTGTTTGTAAATTCAAAATCAAAAGAATTATATATTGGATTAATTGCTGAAAAAATTTTTACATTACGTGAAGCTATTTCACGTTTTTCAACGAATACAACAACAAGTGGTGGAGGGGGAGGAAGTTCTGATACAAGTAATGATGAAAGGCGTAATTCTAGTGGAAATAATAATGGAAATGCTAAAAGAAAATTGGCAGATGTTTTAAAGAGAACAACAAGAAGTATTGGAAGTAATGAATAAATTGAAGGGGGAAGAGAATAGAATAAAGAAAACAATTTTTTGAATTGTTTGTTTTTTGACCATATTTTAGTTTTATTAAAATTTATTTGAAAAAAAATTTTTTTTTGTTTGTATGATATTTTATTTTTATTAATACTTTTTAAGTGTTTTGTTTTTAAATTAGGAATTTCGGTTGAATTTTTTTCTAAAATTTTTTGAGATTTTTTTACAGTATTTTAAAGGATGAGATTATGTATATGTTTGGTTTTGTTGTCTGGATGGTCATTTTCTAGATGGTTATGTTTGGTCTGAATGTGTTCATGTTTTGTCTAGTACGAGCTTGGAGATATGGGATAAACAGGATAAGGTAGTTTTGTGGGATTTGTTGCTAATGGAGAGGGTAAAAGGTGTGAAAGTGGAGTTTAGGAAATAGGGGTTCGTTGTAGTTTCGGTTTTAATGAAAGTTTAATGACTGGAGAATGGGTTGAGTTTTGTACTGTCTGACACCACTTGCTTATTTGCACTATTAATGTTGTGATTTGGTTGCCTTAGCTTTAATGGACATCTTTTTAAATTTAGCTGATCATTTGGGTTGGGGGATCCGTCTAAGTAATACTACTTTAGGGTTCTCATTATAACAATAATCCAAAAATTTTAAAAAATAAAAAATTTATATTAAACACCATATTTATATATTAAAATATTAAAATTTGATTATATATTTAATATATGAGGAGAGGAGATCAAAACAGCCTTTTTTTAATTTAAAAATTAAAATGCCTCACGCCTTCTAAAAAATTTTTTAAAGCCTTTTTCACGTTTCTTCCGTTTTTCATTAAAAAAGAGATGTTATTTTTTGTGTTTTTCTATTTCCTCTTTCCAAATCTAACCATCGAAGAACGATCAAAAGGTGCTCTTTTTCCAAATCTGACCATTGCTGCTCGATCGAGTGGGGCACGCTTTCCAAATCTTCAAGAAAATTTTAAGCAAATCCAAGGGGGTTTTTTAATTAAAAATATTTTTTCTCCGTTACTTACCTAACCATAGCCGCTCGATCCAGTGGAGCTCTTTTACCAAATCTGTTAAATAATTAAAATTATTTAAATAAGTTTCCGGAAAATTATTATTCTGTGTTTTAATCTTTCCGGAATAAGTGGAATCTCTCTCTATTAAGTCACTTCTCGTTTTAGAGCGTTATAAAGCGTTAGCTTCGAATATCATCTCCGATAAATCCACTATAATTTATCTCATAATTATTTTCATTATCCCTATAATCTTTCTATTACGTCATTTTTGGACTGAATTTTAATAATCTAACAATAAAACGTGGGAGGGGAAACAATGCTTTAGAGAGAGCTTCGACTGTTATTTCATCACATTTTTAATATTTTCAAGTCTCGATTTTATATTAAAAATTTTTTTATTGTTACCTGACTAATGCTGACCGATCAAGTGGAGCTCTCTTTCCGAATCTATAAAATTTTTTTGCAAATATTATTTTTCAGTTTTATTATACCTGACTAACGCTGATCGGTCTAATGGTGCTCGTTTAGCCATACTATAAAAATTAAAATATTTTTTTAAATAAAAATCAGAATATTCTGATAAATCAGAATTTTTTATTCTCATTATTACCTCTCATAGCTATTTTCGTTATCTCCATCAATGTCTGCGAATATTGCATTATTGTAATCATCACCAAAATCTTGAAGGGACATTAATTGTGAACTAGGGGAAAATTGAAATGAATTTCTGATTTAAATTCTGATTTTGATTTGTTCTGATTTTTTAAATTTCTGATTTCTGAAATTGTTTTTTTTTTGTCTGATTCTTCTGATTTTCTTAATTCTGATATTTCTGAATTCTGATTTTTTCTGATTCTGATTTTTCTAAAGATTTTTTTGATTACCCAAAATCATTAGTAAGTTGTCCGTTTGAAAAACGACTGATAAAAAAAGCACTAAAAATTAGTGTTGCAATAATTGTATTAAATATTATTTGTGCCATCTCACTTTTATGAAAATTTTTAGTTAAGAAGCGGAAGAAGCGTGTAATTAATTTTTTAAAATTTAATAATTATAGAGAGACGAGTCTTTAAAGTTTAAAAAAATTATTGAAAAATTTTAAGAGTGCGTTTGAAAGTGAGAGTAAAGTGAAGGTACATGAAGATATAAATGAAGATACACAATTTGAAGTAAGGAGGGTCTTGTATGAAAATTTGAGGCTTATATGTAAATACCTTTGATAGGTTCCTATATATTCGACCATCGTTATATAGTCTGAAAATACGTACCCCTAAAGGGTCTGAAAAAAACGTACCCTTAAAATGAGTGGTACACTAAATTGGAGTCTTCCTCAGCTTCCTTCTTCCTCTACTGGTCAACCATCTTAAATAATGGAGACACTAAATAGAGAGAATTATATACCTGGGGTTATACTATAACGAAGTTCGGCTATATATTGAATCAAGGGTAAAAACTCGTCAGAAAAATGTTTGTTCGTGTGTTTGGGGGTGTTGTATAGATTTGAAAAATGAAAAAAAATTTTTTCTTAGCAAGTGATAATTTAATTTTGTATTTATATATAGGTAGTAATTTATTGCCAATAAAAAAACTTGAGAAAAAATTCTAATGTCCCAAGAGAGATTAAAAAAATTAGAAAAGGGAAGGGTGAGAGGGAGACTTGGGGCTACTAAGTTTCTTTTAAAAGTTTGTTGAATACTTGAAGGAAAATGAAAATTAAAATTATTGCTTTTACAAGAAAAGGAGGTGACGAGTCTTTTTTTAAATGAATTTTTTGAGTGTCAAGTTTATTGAAGCAAAGAACTTTTTAATTTCCTTACAAGTTTCTATATTTAAATTAAATTTTTTTAAAGAATAGGAAGGTTTTAGGGGGTGTTATTTTCTATTTTTAGGTAGAAAAAATTATTTTTTTTGAAGTAGTAGGTTAAAAGGAAAATGATTAAATTATTAATAAAAATGTCTAAAAATATATAAGTTTGTATTAAAAAATGATATGTTGAAAAAATACTTGAGATTCCAAAAATAATTTTTTAGGAACAAAAAATGACGCTCTTGGAAATTGTGAATCCTGAGAATATTTTGTAAGAATGCTGAAGGAGATTTTTCCTATTTTAGAGCAGATAAATAGGGTTTGGGGGTGAGGTCCAGTCCGAAAGATCGAGTTGGGCATCGAACTTTGGCCTGAAAAAGACTCGATCTGGTCCGATAAAAATGAAGCCGAAAAGATGACTCGAACGTCGGTCTGGTCCGAAAACCCCAACCCTACAGATAAAGCAATGAAAAATGGAAACGATCAGTCTCGGTGTTTATAGGTTGTTTGAGGGGTTAGCAATAACCGTTGGCATCGAAGAGCTCTTTCGAAGAGCTCTCTCATAGGTATATTCAAGTTGTCCCCCAATCAAACATTGTTTATTAAGAAAAAAATTCTGAGAATGTTTCCAGGCACGTTTTTTAAAAGAAAAATTAGTACTTTTAACATCTAAACAAATTTGTTTTTGCTTAAGTTTGTCACAAATATGTGATGATTTTTAAGTCACGCGATAATATTCTCATGATATTTAATATTAAAAAACAAGAAAATTTTTGTTGGCAAATCTTCTAACGAAGCTTAAAACACACACAGAAGTCCTTATATTTTAAACTTTAAGGATTTTAATAATTCAATTTTATGAATTTTTAAAAGCCACACTTCACTTAGACCACCACCAAAAAAAGTTTGTTAAGAGGGCAAAAGAGATTAACAGGATTAGACGTTTTTTTGGAAAGGAAAAATGCGTGGGGTATTTTATAAAATAAATAAAAAATTTAAAATTAGTGGAAGCGGAAAAGAAAAAAAGTTGTGTAAAATATTTTTTAAGTGTTAAAAAATTCTAAATCCCTTCCAAAAATTAAAAGGAAGTCTGACGACGTTTTTGGAAGAGGAGGAAGGGGAAGGATTATGAGGGGATGGGGTATGAAGGGAGGGATCCTTCCAAAAAAACTAGAAGGAAGGCTAGAAGTGTGACGACGTTTATGGAAGAGGAAAGGTGAAGTATTGCAGGATGGGTGGATTATGAAGTGTGGAGGGGGAAGGGGTCCTTCCAAAAAAACTAGAATGAAGACATTGTAAAAAAAAGTCGATTTTTTGAGATAAGGTAAATGAGGGATTGGAGGGTGGATAAGTTAAGATGGGAGAGGAGAGGTCCTCCAAACGACTTGGATCTTCTATTTTCCCAAAAATTCCAAAAAATAATTTTCTAGAGAAAGAATGAGTGAGATTGAGACTAGACTAACTCTTCTTCTTCCTTTCTCTCAACCCTTAAAAGCCATTAAAAACCGTTAGAAAAAAATTGGTTTTTGTTTTTTTATGTTTATTAATTCCCCCTACTTTTCCCCCATTATTTAATTGTTGTTATTTTACAAGAAAAATGTAAATAAGAAGACTGGCACTCAAATAAATAAAAAATAAAAAAAAGAGGCATTAATTACTTTTATTGGGTAGAAATAATTTGGAAAAAAATTTTTTTGGAAGGGTCTAGGTTATTTTTCAGAAAAAAATTTTTAATGAGAAAATAAGTAAACATTACTGTGACATCATTTTATCGTAAAAATTGCAGTAATTTTTGCAAATTTTAGTAATTACTTTTAAAGAAACCAAAAAATATTTACATATTTAAAAAATCTTTGACATAAATTATTTCCAATATAGTTTGAAAATAATTTTTTTTATTAATATATGCTTCTTAAGGCTTAATGCTTCTTAAGGGTGTGCCATAAATTACCTTAGATACCTTTAAAAATACCGAAAAAGAAAAGTTAATTTAATTTATTTAAAAAGTATTTATTTAAAAAAATATTCTACAAAAATTTTGGCAAAAAATTTTTTATGGTAATTTCTAACAAAATTTTTAAAATTTTTAATGTGTTACAATAAAAATAATTTTGAAGAATTTCTCAATATTTTTTTAAACCAAAAATATATAAAAAAATTTTTTTGGGGGGAAAGAAAAGCTTTTAAAAACTTTGTATTTTTCTTTTTCAAATCCTCTAAGGGATTAAAAAAATTTAATTTTTTTCTACCTAATGCAACACATTATTGTCACAAATTTGCCTTCTTTTTAACAATTCTGTGTAAAACCAACAACTTTTTTCGTTAAAAGAAGCTTCCCCCCTTTTTTATCTAACACTCATTAAATTGCCACAAATATATACTAATTTATTTATTTGAAAATGGAATAAAACAAATTTGGGATAAAGAAAAAAAATTAGAAAATTTCCATTAAATAAGGCAAGTCCAAAAGATCACCTCCAAAAGAATCAACAAAAAATAAGAGGCTTTTAAAGGGGGTTTTAAAAATTAATTTTTAGTTAATTTTGAAAAGTTCAAAGAAAATTTATTTTAAAGATTTTCATGTTTTTTTAAATTGTCTGGAGCTTAAAATGTTTATTTTTTATATTTTTGTTGTTTTTTCCCTCGATCTGCTGGGGGAGGGGGTTTCTTGGAGGTTATTTACATTTAAAAATTCTTTTTTTTAATAATTATTCATGAATCTGAAAATTAATAGGGCAAACAAAGTTAACTACTTGGACTATTTGGAATAGAGTAAAAAATGTACTTATAATTGTATTATTAAGGTGTTAAAAATCTAGGAATTTTTACAGTCAAAAATGCAAATGAGAGATAATTGGGTACTGTAGATGAGTTAATGTGTCTCGCTTTAAAACGGAAACGGGTGACGAAAATGTTTGCTACAAAACGTCTTGTATTAAGTTCTAGTGTAAAATGTGAATTGTCTAGAGAAAGGAAAAAGAGAAATAGTGTTGGTTAGAGAAATAAATGGAAGAAATAGTGTGTATTTAGAAGAGTGTGTTAGTGTTTTGTACAAATTTTTTACAGTTTTTCGGGCTTTTTTTGAAGATTTTTAGGGGTTTTAATGAATTTTTAGAGCTTTTTTTCGATTTGCGATTGATTGCGATTTCATTTTAGGTGTTTAAAACGGAGAATTTTGAATTTCTAAAAGTATTTGGCTCTAAATTTGATTTATTCCTTGTCGCGCTTTTATTTTCTTTTCGTTCTATTTGACACATTTTTCCTCTCTTTTTTCAGATAAAAAATGACTGACCAAATTGCTCGTTCACAGCAATATGAATATAGACAAAATTCTAACCTTGTATTGTCAGTTGATTACAATCTTACTGATAGAAGAGCAAGGGATGAACCTACAGGAGAAGTTATGCCGCTTACCAAAGATCTTTTGCGTGGATCAAAAATGGGTGATAAATATAAAAGAACTGCTGTGCCAGCTGAGAAAAAGGCTTCTAAAGGGTATCATAAGAATTAAATTTTTAGAGTTAAGACATAGACAAGTTTTGAGGGTTTTAGCTAATGATTAACGATTTTATGCCTTTAAGTATTCTATAAGAAAGGTAATTTAATTGGTAGTGGTAATTGTTTCCTTGGTTTAGTTGGTTGGTCTTAGGGTTCAAAATTGTTGATCAACCGGAGGTTGATGGTTCGATATCTATCGTGGTAATAGGTTATTTCTCTCTTTCTCTGAGGAAATTAACTTCGCTAGGATTTCTTTTTCCCTTTTTTACAATTTATTCATTTACTTTTTTAAGAAAATCCCGCGATCGTGAAGACATTCGAGAACAAAAAACAGCAGTAGACGAAGTAGGAATTGCTGGAATTTACAAACCTAGAACTCAAGAAACTCGCAATACTTTTGAAGTCTTTTTGTCATTAATCCAAGAAATCATTGGTGATCAACCTCGAGAAATATTGCATGGGGCTTCACATGAAATTCTTTTAATATTAAAATCTGATTCAATTCGGGAAAAAGAAAAGAAAAAGGAAGCGGAAGATTTATTTTCAACAAAATTGACAGAAGAACGTTTTGCTTTATTAACTAATTTGGCTAAAAAGATTACTGATTTTAATCCTGATGATGAAGATGAAAAGAGGGATATTGTTAGTTTTTTTAAATTTAATTTTTAATAAAATTGGGGGTTTTAGGGACAATTTTAGGAAACATTTTCCTTTCATAGTTCATTTTTTTGCAACGGGAATCTGATTTTTAAGTTCTTTTTTGTGGGGCGGGTGGGCAAATGGAAGGCTTCAACTATTCCTTCTTATCTAATTTACTTGTCGGAAGATTGGACTTTGGATAAGTACGACAACCAGTTTAGAAATACTCCTTGGAAAGGTCCCAATGAACAAGTTCCTTACTTTGAACAAGGGAGAGACCCTAAGTTGGCCAACTCAACTTGAATAATTTTAAAAAATTCCACTAAATAAAAATTTTTTTATAAAAATAGATGGATGATATTGACGAAACAGCAGGTGTTCCAGTACATTTTGATTCAGATGAAGAAGATGATCGAATGGTAACAGAACTAAAAGAAGATAAAAGTGAGGATGAAGATGTTGGTGTTGAAGCTATTTATGAGGGAACATTGCGTACTGCTGAGGGTTCTGGTGGTGGAAAAGCTAATGGAATTGGAGAGGTTTTTTTTCTAATTTTTTTGATACTTGAACTTTTGGCTTTGGTCTGGTTTTTGTGTCCAATGCTGCGTCTATGGTCATAAAAATCCATTACTTGAGTAGTCGTACCTAACACAACCTAAGGTCTGCTTACCGAATGGGGGTATAAATTTGTATTGGGCTTGCTTTATTTGACTTATAAGATTCATAGGACGCATATAACATAAGAATAACTAGACCAGAACCTAATCTTTTTTAAATTAAATAAAATTTCTTTTTTTAAGAAAAAACAATTAAATCCGCGAGATATAGATGCTCATTGGGTTAAACGTTATTTATCAAAACATTTTGATCCTAATGAAAGTCAACAAAAAACACAAGAAGTTTTGAATATTTTGAAGGTTTTTTTAAATTTTTTAAGAATTATATATATATTTTTTTTTAATTTTTAAAGAATTCCGTTGATGACCGTGCATGTGAAAATTCTTTGGTTTTATTACTTGGCTTTACCCATTTTGATTTTATTAAACAACTTTGTCAAAATCGTCATATGATTTATTATTGTACAAGATTAAAGCAAACACAAGGAGAGGAAAGAGAAGCTATAGAAAATGAAATGGCTAGTAAACCTGAACTGAAAAATATTTTGGATGAGTTGATAGAAGTTAGAGAAGATGATATTGTTGCGGTAAATTCATGAGTTTTTAACCGGGAAAGTTTTTGAGGCTATCTAAATAAAATCAACCGGGCCGTGGGTTCAAATTTTTTTGGATCGAGAAAAATGTCTGGTCGGGATAGTTGAAATGGCTAGTAATTTCTGGATACCCATTGCAGGCCCGTAGCCAGGATTTTTTTTCGGGGGGGGGGGGGGGGGGGGGAATTTTTTGCGCCAAATTTTTGGCGCCGAAGGCGCCAAAAATTTTTATTTTCAGCGCCGCAGGCGAAAATTTTTTTAATTTTAGAAGGTCGTAGGCCAAAAAAATTCACTTTTTCGGCGCCGCAGGCGCCAAAATTTTGATTTTCAGCGCCGCAGGCGAAAATTTTTTGGATTTTGGACCTTAAAAAGCCAGATTTCTTCCTTTTTTAGCGCCGCAGGCGAAAATTTTTTAAATTTCAGAGGCCGTAGGCCAAAAAAATTCACTTTTTTGCCCCAGCCCTTCCCCAAATTTTTTCCTTTTTCCCATTTCGGGGGGGGGGGGAATTCCCCCCCTCACCCCCCCCCCCCTGGCTACGGGCCTGACCCATTGCATCTCAAATAGCATGAATAAGGTTCTCCTAATTTTACGGATTCATTTTATTTTGGACTTATTTTCTACCGAAGACCTTATTTGACCCTATTTTCTTTCAGACTGAACGTGGCAAAAGAGATAAAGCAGCCCAACAACGCCGTATGAATGAAGCAGCACAAGAAGCAGTCGCAGCAGCAAGTTGGACACAACAAAGAAAAGTTTATGATTTGGAAGATATGGCATTTGCACAAGGATCACATACTATGAGTAACAAAAAATGTGTTTTGCCAGATGGATCACAAAGAACACAAAAGAAGAGTTATGAAAGTATTTATGTTCCTCCATTGAAGCCTAAACCTTTTGGAGAAAATGAGGTTTTCTTTTAAATTTTTTATTAAATAGGAATTTTTTGCCTTTAGTTTAGCATGAGTCTTATAAGCTTTTATGAGTCTCATGACCTTTTAGGCGTTACAAAATTAGTTCCAAAATTCCAAAAATATACGTCCCAAGAGTGGCCTAACTAAGTGCCCAATAAGTTTTCGAATTTTATTTTGGTATAGCCTTGCTCAAAGCCACCGAGTAAACGCATACATTCTGTCGGAATGCTTAAAAGCTCATGAGACCCATTTCCAAAACTTGAGCTTATTTTTCCTTTTCTAGAAATTAATGGACGTTGAAGATTTACCAAAATGGGCACGTCCAGCATTTAAAGGATATCGAACATTAAATAGAATTCAATCAGCAATATACAAAAAAGGTTTACATACAGACAACAATTTGTTAGTTTGTGCCCCAACTGGCGCTGGAAAAACAAATGTTGCTTTACTTTGTATTTTACGTGAAATGTCAAAACATATGAATGAAGATACAACAATTAGAAAAGATGAATTTAAATGTATTTATGTTGCCCCAATGAGGTCATTAGTACAAGAAATGGTTGGAAGTTTTAAACAAAGATTGGAAGAAGCTTATGGAATTACTGTGAGTAATTTATTAATTTGTTGCTTTAAAAAATTTTTTTAAATTTAAAAGGTCGGTGAAATGACTGGTGATGTTCAAATGAGTAAAGAACAATTCATGTTAACTCAATTAATTGTTTGTACACCAGAAAAATATGATATTATAACACGTAAAGGTTTGTAGAACGATTTTTATTTTTTTAATTCGGATCTCCATTATGTCCCCAAATCGACTTTTCACCAAATTCAGGCTTTTTTGTTTGCCACTGGGCATGGTTGATGTGAGCTGAGTAAAAGTCGGACATCTTTTGGGTGATTTCTTCAAAATTTCCTTAGGATGGGATTTCAAACGAGAAAAGTCGGTGTTTCAGAGGATGCGGTCCATCTCTTTTGATTACATGGGCACGGAGATCTTCCTACTCCTAATAGGATACGATTTTTCAGCATCAATCTTAAAGTTCTTTATTAAGGTGGAGAACGTTCATATACACAATTGGTTACTTTAATAATTTTTGATGAAATTCATTTACTTCATGATGAAAGAGGTCCAGTTTTAGAAGCTTTAGTAGCAAGAACAATAAGACAAATTGAACAAACACGTGATGCTTGTCGTTTAGTTGGATTATCAGCTACATTGCCCAATTATAAAGATGTTGCACGTTTTATACGTGTTGAACCAGATGATCTTTTCTTTTTCGACAATTCATATAGACCTGTACCGCTTGAACAAGAATATATTGGAGCAACAGAAAAGAAGGCATTAAAACGTTATCAAGCAATGAATGAAATTATTTATGATAAAGTACTAGAAAGTGCTGGACGTAGTCAGGTTTTTTTTTGAGTTTTTAAGCCTCTAAAAATTAAAAAAATTTTTAAGATTCTCGTTTTTGTTCATTCACGTAAAGAAACGGCAAAAACAGCAAAAGCTATTCGTGATGCTTGCATAGAAAGAGATTCAATAAGTAAATTTCTTCGTGAAGGAAGTGCTTCTACAGAAGTTTTGCGCACTGAAGCTGAACAGGCTAAAAATATGGATTTGAAAGATTTACTCCCTTATGGTTTTGCTATTCACCATGCTGGAATGAATAGATTGGATAGATCTTTGGTAGAAGACCTTTTTGCTGATAAACATATTCAGGTTTTTAATTTTTGGCATTTTCGAAAAAAATTTTTCTTTGTAAAGGTTCTTGTTTCAACAGCAACTTTAGCCTGGGGTGTAAATTTACCAGCACAAACAGTCATCATAAAAGGAACACAAGTTTATAACCCACAAAAAGGTTGTTGGACAGAAATTGGTCCATTAGATATAATGCAAATGATGGGAAGAGCTGGTCGTCCTCAACACAATGCTTTGGGAAAAGGAATTTTGATAACACATAATACTGAACTTCAATATTATTTGTCACTTATGAATCAGCAGGTTTGTTTTTTCAACCTTATAATTTAGTAAGACGAATGTAGATAAGTTAAACTATGGGGGTTTTTACTAGAAGACCAACGTCTTCTAGTAACAACCTAGAAGACCAACGGAAGACCAACCTAGAAGACCAACGGTCCTTTACCGGTTGACTTATATTAAACTCTTACCTGGTAAATGTTTTAATGGTTCTAGCTAACTGGATTTCTCTTCTTCCTTAGAAAATTTTTTATTTTATAGCTTCCAATTGAAAGTCAAATGATTGCAAAATTGCCAGATACATTAAATGCTGAAGTTGTTCTTGGAACAGTTACAAATGTTACGGAGGCAATGGAATGGTTAACTTATACATATTTATATGTTAGATTGTGTAAAGCACCAGCACTTTATGGGATTCAAGTTGATGTAAGAATTTTGAATTTTATAGAAGAATTTTTTCTGAATTTTCAGGAAAATGATAAACTTTTGGAAAAACCTCGTGCTGATTTGGTCCACACTGCTTGTTTATTACTTGATAAAGGAAATTTGATTCGTTATGGGGCCTATTTCAATTGTCCACAGATTCTGCATTCTGTGCACAGAACACAGATTCTGTGGAAATTCTGTTTCAATTAAATTCTGTGTGCACAGAATCTGTGGTGCCCGCAGATTCTGCGGAAACATCCAATGATTCTGTGGAAACATTCCGCAGATTCTGTGGATGAAAATTTCTGTGGAAAATATAAAAATCTGTGGATTTTTTCCACTGATCCACAGAATTTGTATTTCAATTATTTTTCTGTGGTTCTGTGTATTTTTTCTTCTAAATTCAAATTTTTTATTTCCGCGTTTTTGAAAATAACAGTTTTATTGAAACGAAAAATGGTTTGGACAGTTCGGTACTACCGCAGTATTAATGGTACCTGATTTTTTGAAGTAAAACTTTAAAAATTCTTAAATTAAACTGAAAAATATTGTAAAGATTTAAAAATTTTCCCTCCAAATCACATAACATCCCTTTAAATCTCTTTGATATCACTTTAAAACCGCTGATATACCGCTTAATTTTCTTGTTCATCCAATATCCTTAAATCTCCAATTAAATTAATGTCCTAAAGCAGGGTTCGGATCGGAAAAATCAGGAGATGTCGATCCGACATGTGGCTTTTTCAAACTACGATAGAAGTTGTTGCAAGGGAGGGAAATGTTACAAAACTGGGGATTGTTTAGTCAGAAATTGAGGTTCCTGGAAATCGAAAATGCCTGGAATCCAAAATTATAGTCAAATCGGAACTTTAAAATCGTAGAGGAGTGATTAAGTGGGATATCCATTGATTTTGAGGTTTAATATATTGGAGTGATTAAGGAGGAAATCTATCATTAAATAGGAGGAGAGATTATGACGGATATCAATGAGAGATCATGGGAGATATCCCAGTATACGCTATACAGATATCTTCTATAGATCCTGGTAAACATCCCCTCATTAGAGATATCCATGATGATTAGAACATCATAGCTCTAAATTTCAGAATCTCTCACGTTTTTTATTTTTTTATTGCTTGAATATAACAAAAACTGCGTAAAAAAGATGTACCTTTTTCAAAATTAATTTTAAGCAATAATTTTAGGTAATAAAATTATAATTTTTATATCAAAAAATAGAGAATGATTCAAACTTTAATAATCTTTAAAAATTTTGAAATTTGGTTAAGCCTAGGCCTAGAAAAAAATTGTTAAAGTTTTTCCACAGAAAGTTCGCAGAAAAAATTTTAGGGTGGATTTTTTAAAGAATTCTGTGTATTTTCCGCAGACCACAGAAATAATTGAAACAGAAATGCACAGAATCGACTAAAAAAGCCACAGATCTGTGGATTTTTTTCTGTGCACAGAAAAATAATTGAAATAGAATTCTGTGGTTTTTGCATGTTTTTGGATGTTTTGCAGAATCTGTGGATGTTTCCACAGAATCTGTGGATGTTTCCACAGATTCTGTGCATGTTTCCACAGAATCTGCGGACTTCTTTTTCCGCAGAATCTGTGGAATAATTGAAACAGAATTTCTGTGGTTCTGTGGTCTGTGCACAGAACGCAGACCGCAGAATCTGTGGACAATTGAAATAGGGCCATGATAGAAAAACTGGTTTAATACAGGTTTTGATTTTACCAGAAATTTTTTGCAAATAAATTTTTTAAAATAATAGGCGCAAGAATTGGGGCGTATAGCTTCACATTATTATTGCACATATGAAAGTATGGATACTTACAATAAATTGTTGAAAGATACATGTACTGAAATTGATTTATTCCGAATATTTTCACTTTCTTCTGAATTTAAACAAATTCATGTACGTGAAGAAGAAAAATTGGAATTACAAAAATTGGCTGAAACAGTCCCAATTCCAATAAAAGAATCGCTTGATGAGCCTAGTGCTAAAGTTAATGTGCTTTTACAGGTTTTTTTTATAATAATAAAACTAATTTTGCTGATATTTTTTCTTAGGCTTACATTTCTCAACTTAAATTGGAAGGATTTGCTCTTCAAAGCGATATGGTATTTATCTCGCAATCTGCTGGTCGTTTGTTTAGAGCACTTTTCGAAATTGTTTTATGGAGAGGATGGGCACAACTTGCTTTGGTAAAAAATATTTTTTGATTATTTTATGAAATTTTTTGTTTAAAGAAAATTTTGGGATTATGTAAAATGGTTAATGCAAGACAATGGCAATCACTTAATCCTTTACATCAATTCAAAAAATTACCAACAGAAGTTGTTCGAACTTTAGATAAAAAGAATTTGCCATTTGATCGCCTTTATGATTTGGATGTTCATCAATTGGGAGAATTACTTCGTGTACCAAAAATGGGAAAACCTTTATATAAATTTATTAGACAGGTTTCTTTTTTTAATTGTTTTCAAATGAAGAACGTGGTGTCATAATACTATTCGTCGAAATACCAACCCTCAAAAAGACATGCCGGAATAGCCAAAATTTTTGCCTTTGTTGAAGAAACCTTACACATTTTGTATTTTGGCATCTTTTCAGGGGTTCGGTATTTTAGCATTGGTATTACGCCGCGCTTCCTTGATTTATTTTATTTTTTTTCTTATTAAAGATTCCCAAATTGGATATGACAACATTAATATTGCCAATAACGCGTTCTACACTTCGTGTTGAATTAACAATAACACCAGATTTTCAATGGGATGAAAAAATTCATGGAAGTTCTGAAGGTTTTTGGATATTTGTTGAAGATGTTAATGGAGAAATTATATTGCATCATGAATATTTTCTTCTTAAACAGTTTGGAAAATTTAATTTTTTTAAGGGTTAAACTAGCATTCAGGGCCTTTGGGGTTGAGTGCTTTGGGGGAATTGACCTTTGGTTTGGGAGAAAGCCTGATATGGGTCCCTCCAAAAAATCTTCAGGGGATGGGGTAACCTTAGAATCGTCTGGGTTTCGTGGGAAGGTGTGTTCCTCTAGATTAAACTTTTTTTTTATTTTCAGAAAATATTGCACAGAAGAGCATATTGTCAAAATGTTTGTTCCAGTTTTTGATCCTCTCCCTCCCCTCTATTTTATTCGAATTGTTTCTGATCGTTGGTTAGGAAGTGAAACTGTTTTGCCTGTCTCTTTTCGTCATTTAATTTTGCCAGAAAAGTATCCACCACCAACAGAATTGTTAGATTTGCAACCTTTACCAATTTCTGCATTAAATAATCCACAATTTGAACAAATATTTGAAAAGCGAGGAATTCATTATTTTAATCCAATTCAAACACAAGGTTTATTTTTTAATTTTTTCTAAAATTTTTACGAGTCTTTAGTTTTTCGTACATGTTATGAAACAAACGAAAATGTTTTTATTGGAGCACCAAATGGTAGTGGAAAAAGTGTTTGTGCTGAATTTGCATTACTTCGTCATTTTGAAAATAATCCAAATGGAAAAGCTGTTTATTGCACAAGTTTGGATGATTTGGCTAAAAATGTATTTTTTTTAATTTTTTATTTAAAAATTTTTTTCTTCCTTTAAAAGATTTATTTTGACTGGCTTGAACGAATTGCTGTTCCATTAAAGAAAACTGTTGTTTTACTTACTGGTGAAAATTCTATTGATATCAAACTACTCAAAAGAGCTGATGTTGTTATTTCTACAGCTGAACGTTGGGATAATATTTCTCGTCGCTGGAAAAATCGTTCTGATGTACAAAAAGTTAAATTATTTATTGTTGATAATTTACATATGATTGGAGGATCTAATGGGGTTTGCTTATTCTTTAAAATTTTTTGAGAGAAAATTTTTATTTTTAAGCCGGTACTTGAAGTTGTATGTTCAAGAATGAGATATATGGGAAATCAATTAGATTCTAAACTTCGTATTGTTGCTATGGCCACTTCTTTAATGAATGCTCGTGATATTACACATTGGCTTGGGTGTGAACAGAATTACAATTTCCCTCCAAATGCGAGACCTGTTGCTTTGGATTTGCGTATTGACGTGAGTTTTTTGAGAGATTATTTGGAGATCAGCTTGGGGTTGGATCCAGAGCTTGCTCTTTTCTGGATTCAGATTCAAGATCAAGGCATTTTTCAGTCTTCCTTGATTTTCCGTTGACCTTGGTTCCGGGTCAAGAGTCATGTCCTTGATTCAAAGTCCTCGAAATATCAAGAATCAAAGTCAAGTTCCGATCTCTAGCATTGATATTCTTCTTTACACAAAATTTTTTCTTTAAAGGGTTTTAATCTTTCGCACACCCCAACACGTTTGTCTGCAATGGTACGTCCTGTATATTCAGCAATTTTACGTCATGGTGGAAAATTGGAACCTAAACCAGTTTTAATCTTCGTTCCAAATCGTCGTTTAACACGTTCATTGGCAGTAGATTTATTAACATATGCTTTGGCTGATAGACAAGAAAATCGATTTTTGCATATGAATCCAGAAGAAGATGTTTTTGCAAATTTGGTTGAACGTTTAAATGATGAATCTTTAAAAGAAACAATAAAAAGAGGTGTTGGATTTTTACATGAAGGAACAACTAATTTTGATTCTGAAAGTGTACAAAATTTGTTTAATAGTGGAGCAATACAGGTATGATTTTTTGCTGATATTTTTTCTTGGGTTTTTGAATTTTTTAGGGGAAGGATTTTTTGGATTTTTCGTTTCTAGATTTTTTCAAAAGTTTTTCAGAATTTTTTTGTGTATTTTTTTATGAATTTTTTAGAAACTTTTTATTGGATTTTTCTATTACACTCGTTTTCTGAATTTTTCATAAATTTTTTCGGAACTTTTCTCCAGGTTTTCCGGAATTTTTGTCTGATTTTTTTCATAAATTTTTTTGCATTTTTATAAACCTATGCTTTTTTTAATTTTAATTTTTTTTTATTTATAGATTTGTATAGTTCCATATACAATGTGTTATCAAATTCAAATGCGTGCATTTTTAGTAATTTTAATGGACACCCAATTTTATAATGGAAAACATAATGCTTATGAAGATTATCCAATTGGTGATGTTTTACATATGGTTGGGTTAGCTAATTTACAGAGAAGGAATGATGAAGGTTTTTTTCAAAGTTTTTTTAAGAAATTTTTTCAAATTATTTTTAAAGGTGCTTGTCAATGTGTTTTAATGTGTCAATCATCAAAAAAAGATTTTTATAAAAAATTTTTATTTGAACCTTTACCTGTTGAATCTCATTTAGATCATTGTTTACATGATCATTTTAATGCTGAAATTGTTACAAAAACTATTGAAAATAAACAAGATGCGATAGATTATTTAACTTGGACTTTATTATATCGTCGAATGACACAAAATCCAAATTATTACAATTTACATGTAAATTAATTTTTTAGTTTGATATTTAGGGGTGGACCCAGGCCATGTCTAACACCGACACGAATTTCATTCTCCGAAAAAAATTCTGGCCCCGATATCGAAAGCCCTGAACTTTAGGGCTGGACTCCGACTTCGTCTAATTTTGACCTTGAACCTTGGCACGAATTTTAACTCCTATTCAAAAAGATTTTTCGATCCCGCCCTAGTCAAATCATAATTCTAGACCCTAAACTTTTTTTGATTCCAAAGGATCGGGGTCCGCTCCCTAATTTTTTTATTAAAATATTTTTTCCAATTTTAAGGGAACAAGTCATCGACATTTATCAGATAGTTTATCAGATTTGGTTGAATCAACATTAAAAGATTTGGAAAATAGTAATTGTATTACTGTGAAAGATGAAATGCATACAAATCCTTTAAATTTGGGAATGATTGCTGCATATTATTATGTTAGCTACACAACTATTGGTAAGCTTGAGTAAACTTTTTTTTAAATTTTTTCTGACCAGAGATGATCAGTTTTTTGATCAAAAAGATGACTCATTCAATTAAAAAATTTTCCTTTTCTAGAATTGCTCTCCCTTTCATTAAAACCAAAGACCAAATTGCGTGCAATAATTGAAATTATTTCAAATGCAACAGAATTTTCATCATTACCAGTTCGTCACAAGGAGGAAGTTACACTTAAAAAATTGGCTGATCGACTTCAAGGACAAGTTAAAAATCAAAAATGGAATAGTCCACATGTTAAAGTTTGTTTTATTTTTTTGATAAAGTTAATTTAAAAATTTCGAAAATTTTTTGAAAAAATTTTTTTGAAAATTTTTTTTGAGAAATTTTTTTGAAAATTTTTTTCTGAGAAACAATAATTTTTTTCCTTTTAAGGTCAATCTTTTACTTCATGCCCATTTATCTCGTATTCATTTAACTGCTGAATTAAGCAAGGATACTGATTGGGTTGTATTAAAATCTGTAAAATTGGTACAAGCGTGTGTTGATGTTTTGTCAAGTAATGGATGGTTATCTCCAGCAATTCATGCAATGGAATTGTCTCAAATGTTATCTCAAGCAATGTATTCAAATGAATCTTATATGAAACAATTACCTCATTGTTCTCCTGAATTGTTGGAAAGATGTAAAGAAAAGGTTTTTATTTTTTAAAGTTTTTTTATGGAGAGACAGGGGATGGGCCTGTAAGGATAAGCTTTGGATTAGTTTCTGGACCGAGTTTCAAAATTGCCTTCTGAATGTTTTGGGTTTGAAAAAGAGTGGGTTTTGGGTTGGATTTCGGATAACCTGACCCATTGTTTTATATCAGGGCTCGCATTCCTACTTTTTTAAAAGTATTCTACTTTTAAATCGACCTCCATGCTTACGAAATTGAATTTATACTTTTTTGAAAGTATATACTTTTTTTTGATTGAAAATGAAATTGGGGAAGGGATTGGGCGAAAAAGTGAATTTTCTGGCTTACGGCCTCCAAAATTCTCAAAATTTTCGCCTGCGGCGCAAAAAATGGAAGAAATCTGGCTTAAGGACCTCCAAAATTCTCAAAATTTTCGCCTGTTGCGCAAAAAATGGAAGAAATCTGGCTTAAGGACCTCCAAAATTCTCAAAATTTTCGCCTGTTGCGCAAAAAATGGAAGAAATCTGGCTTAAGGACCTCCAAAATTCTCAAAATTTTCGCCTGTTGCGCAAAAAATGGAAGAAATCTGGCTTAAGGACCTCCAAAATTCTCAAAATTTTCGCCTGTTGCGCAAAAAATGGAAGAAATCTGGCTTAAGGACCTCCAAAATTCTCAAAATTTTCGCCTTCGGCCCCAAAAAAAGATGCATTGAAATTGATAAAATGCTCAGTTGAAACAAGAAATTATTAGAAAAGATTCATTTAGGAGAAGAATATGAAAGATTTGAGGACGAATAAATATTTTCTAATTTAATTTTGAGACTACTTTTTTTTGCAAATTTTCTCCCTATATACTTTTTAATCGAGATTTTGATACTTTTGAGTGGCATTTTGTCGATGCGAGCCCTGTTTTATATGGTTTTCAAAATTTTTTGTTATCGGGCTTCGGGTAACCTGACTCATCTCTGGTAGAGACTTGGGATTTTTTGAAAATTTTTGAAAAATTTTTTTATTTAGAAAGTTGAATCAATATTTGAATTACTTGAATTAAATGATGAAGATCGTGATGAAATTTTACAAATGAATCAAGCACAATTAACAGATGTTGCTATATTTTGTAATAATTATCCAAGTATTGAAGTTAAACATGAACTTGTTAGTCAAAAAGCAAATATGTATGATTTAAATATTTTTTTGAAAATTAAAAAAAAATTTTTTTTTTAATTTTTTATAGAGGACAACCAGTTGAAATACGAATAGAACTTGAACGTGAAAACGATGAAAATGGTTTTGCACCACCAGTTGTTGCTCCATTCTTTCCTCGTTATCCTTATCCTGCTGGTCGTGTTCCATTTTATTCGCGTAATTATGTTCCAGAAAATTTGGAAGAAGGATGGTATTTAGTTGTTGGTGATCCTTTGAATAATCAATTGCTTTCAATTAAAAGGTTTTTTTTATTTTTTAAAATTTTTTTGTATTTATTTTTTAAATTTTGATAGACTGACAGTAAATGTGAAGGCACAACATGTTCTTGATTTTGTCCCAACAATATCTTCACAAAAAGCAAATTATAAATTATATTTTATTTGTGATTCATATTTGGGTGCTGACCAAGAATTTGACCTTCCTTTGCGTGTTTCTGAGTCTTCTTCAAGTTCATCAACAACATCTGAAAAGGAGGGAGGTGGAAGATCGTCTGATCGCAAACGAAAACACGAAGACGTTAAGGATGCCAAATAAAAAGGTTTTTTGAAACAAGCAAAATAATATTTATTTATTTTGAGTTTATTTTTCCAAACCAATTTTGTTTTTTTTTAATTTTTTTAGTTGATTTGAGTAAATATTTTTGTTAAGATTTTTTAAATTTTTAAGTATAGTATTTAGGATTAAGTTTTTTAGATTATGTATTAGAGGGTTAGAAGGATCCCTGAAAGTTCCATATTGTTTTCACGTTTGTTAATGAGGGGCAGATGGGAAAATTATATAAAATTTTGTCTCTTCGAGGGATCCTTCCCGCCTAAACGGCCATTGGAACTTGGCTATCTTGTTTTAAAAAATTTCAAAAAAATTTTTAATCCCATTTCCTCCTCCTATTAACAAATTACCAATTAAAATTCACCCAAAAACTGACTTATCTTTTCTTTTTGTTTTTAAAAAATTTCCATGGCGACGTCTTTTTATTGTTTTTCCTTTTCTTGTCTCAAAATAATCACACGCGCACAAAGCCTTCAATTGAAAAAAATTTTTGTTGTTAGGGGTGTATAAGGGGGGAGAAGCCAAAAACCTTTCTCTTTTGTTTTGCGCGCTTACCGCTGCCAACCTTTTGTGTTTTTAAATATCATTCTTTTTTTTAGAAAGGAAAGGGGAAATGCGCTTTATTCTAATTTATTTTTAATATTAATTCTTTTTTAGGTGAAAAAAAATATTTTTTTAGAAATTTTTAAAATAAGAAAAAAAATTTTTTGAAAAAATGCCGGCTGGAGGTAAAATGCGGGAGGTTGTTTCCCTTCATGTTGGACAAGCTGGAGTTCAAATTGGAAACGTAAAAATAATTTTTTGAAATGAAAATTCTGATATTTTTTAAGGCTTGTTGGGAACTCTATTGTCTAGAACATGGAATACAGGCAAAATTTTATTTTTTTTGACTTTAAAAATTTAAAATTATTTTTTAAGCCTGATGGACGAATGCCTGCGGATGACACGTTGAATAATTTTTTCAACTAATTTTTCTGAAATATTTTTTTAAGTGTTGGCATTGAAGACCATTCATATAATACTTTCTTCTCTGAAACACCTTCAGGTTTATTTTTTGAATTATTTTTAAAATTTAATTTTTATTTTGAAAGGTAAACATGTTCCTCGAGCAATTTTCATTGATTTGGAACCAACTGTTATTGGTATTTTTTTTAAAGATTTTTGTCAAAAAAATTTTTTAAATTATAAAATAGATGAGATAAGAACAGGAACTTATCGACAGGTTATTTTCAACATTTTTAGCCAAACTTTTCAATTAAAAAAATTTTTTCAGTTGTTTCATCCAGAACAACGTAAAGATTTATTAAGAGAATTTACCTTATGTTTTTTTTGTTTTGCAGTTATTACTGGCAAAGAAGATGCTGCAAACAATTATGCACGTGGCCATTATACCATTGGAAAGGAGTTAATTGATGTTTGTTTGTTTTTGGAAATTTTTTTAAAGTTTAACTAAATTTTTAGGCAACTATGGACCGAATTCGAAGTTCGTCTTTGCCAGAAATTTTTTTTTATAAAATTCCAAATTTAAGGAACAGCTGAACATTGTAATTCATTGCAAGGCTTCCTTATATTCCATTCATTTGGAGGCGGTACAGGGTTTGATTAAAGCAAAATAAAAATGATTTTTCATTGCTTTCAAGTTCTGGCTTTACCTCAATGATGATGGAACGTTTATCAGCAGATTTTGGCAAGAAATGTAAACTTCAATTTAGCGTCTACCCAGCACCGCAAATTTCTACATGTATTAAATTTTAATTAAATTTTTTCCCAAAATTTTACTTAAGCAATGGTTGAACCATACAATTCTGTACTCTCTACACATACAACATTGGAACATTCAGATTGTTCTTTTCTGGTTGATAATGAAGCAATTTATGAAATTTGCCGAAAAAATTTGGATATTCACCGGTTTGTCTTTTGTTTGGAATATTTGAATATCTTTTCACTTTTAGTCCAACCTACACAAATTTGAATCGTCTTATTGCACAAGTTGTTTCTTCTATTACAGGTTTATCGTCATAAATAATTTTGAAAATTAAAAAAATTTTTTAGCTTCCCTACGTTTTGATGGAGCTTTGAATGTTGACTTGACAGAATTCCAAACAAATTTAGTTCCATATCCACGAATCCATTTCCCTCTAGCTACTTATTCTCCAATCATTTCTGGTATTTTTAATGGTTTGGGAAAATTTTTGTTCCCTTTTTTAGCGGAAAAAGCATTTCATGAACATATGAATGTACCTGAAATAACCAACAAATGTTTTGAAGCTGGACATCAAATGGTTAAATGTGATCCTAGAAATGGAAAATATATGGCATGTTGTCTACTTTTTCGTGGAGATGTTGTACCGAAGGTTTCCTTTTTTCTACGACCTTTTGGAAAATTTTTTTCAAATTTTTTAGGATGTAAATGCAGCAATCGCAACAGTCAAAACAAAACGAGCTATTCAATTTGTGGATTGGTGTCCAACAGGTTTTAAAGTTGGAATTAATTATCAACCACCTACGGTTGTGCCGGGTGGTGATTTGGCTAAAATGCAACGTGCTGTTTGCATGCTTTCGAATACTACAGCAATTGCAGGTTTTCTTCTTGTTTAGAGGTTTAAAAAAAATTTGTTTATTCTTTAGAGGCCTGGACTCGCCTTGATCACAAATTTGATTTAATGTATTCAAAACGTGCATTTGTTCATTGGTATGTTGGTGAAGGAATGGAAGAAGGTGAATTTTCTGAAGCACGCGAAGATATGGCTGCTTTAGAAAAAGATTATGAGGAAGTGGCTTTTGATACACATGAAGAAGAATATTGAAAAAAAATTGGATCGATTAAAAATAAATATTTTTTTATTAATTTGAGGAATAAAAGTCAAAGACAAATTTTTTTAATTTTAACTAAATTTGCGCCTCATTTCGCAAGTAATTATTTTTAAGTGATGTAAGGAATACAAAAATACATTGAAAATATTTTTAAAAATTTTTTTAAATTTTTTACCAATTTTCAGAAAATTTTTGGCGACCTGGACATTTTGGTTCGTTTACATTTTTTATTTGGCATTATGTTTTGTTGACAATTTTATTTTTAAATTTCAGGTTTTTTAATTTTCAAAAATTTTTTTCAGGTTTTTTAATTTTCTATACTTTTTTATTTACTTCAAGCTCAAATTAAATGTTTACTAATCAATTTACTACATTATTTCAACTCAAATTCAACTTGATGTATTTATTAATTTTGACTTTGATTAATTATTTTTTGTGCAACAAACCTTTTGTGGTGTTATTTTTGAGGTTTATTGACTTTTATTTACTTGCTGAACTTTTACTGCTTGCGGGTTTTACAGGTTTTTATTTTTTTTTAATTTAAAATTTTTTTCTTTATTTTTCTTTTCGGTCTCATTCCTTCTATTTTCTGAATTATTTGGGCATTCATTATTTTATGAAAGGTTCCCCCTCTTTTCTCCCCTAAAAAATTATTTTCCCCTTTCATTTAAATTAGCTTCTCTCTCCCTCCTCAATTCCTCATTTTTCCGATTTCCGTGCCGTAAAGCTCAAATTTCATCTCCCCCTACTTTGTTTCTTATTTTGGGAGGGATAATAACAAGCAAAATGACGGGGGCCAAAAATAATGTAAATTTTTCGTCAAACAATTCTTTCTTGAAAAAATTAAAAAGGAATAACCTCACGGCTCTAGGATTTCTTTTGTCTATTTTTGGGCATTTTTTGAGGGGATAAAGTTTGGAGGATTAAGAAAAAAATTTTTCTTAAATTTTTTCTCCAGTCCAATATTAAATGAATTATTTGATCAACTGGGGGAAACAAAAATTAAAAAAAAATTTTTGACCCCCAAAAAATTTTTTTACAACTAGTCTAAACTTTGTAAAAAATTTTATGACTTTTTTCCTCAAAAAATAGACAAAAGAAAAAATTTTTAAATTTTATTTGGGGATTTTCTCTTTAATTTCTAATGGATTTTTCCCACTCTTCTCTCATTTCTTCATTAATTTTTTTTGTTAAAATTGGGGGGAACTGTTTTGTTTTATTCTTCTTAGTATTTTAAATTTAAAAAATTTTTTTTTGATAGATTTTATTAGATTTTAATTTTTAAAGAAAGGGGTAATCATAAAAATCTGTTTTTGCCTCTTTCCTTTCCCTCTCTGTCTCCCTCATTCATAAAAAATCGACATATGGATCTAAATATTAATTTTTTCGGCTCTTTATAAAAATTAAAAAATATACAGATGTTGAGTTAGCCAGTCAATTTTTTTGAATTTTTTTTTTGAATTTTTCTAAAAATAAATTCAATTAAAAAAGACCCTAAAAAACACACTTTTCAGAAACTCCTTTTTGTCTAAACTTTTATTCTTAGGTTCTTTATTTTCTGATCGCCGTTCATTTTTTTTCATTTTTCACTCTCATCTTCACAGTTCTTTTGGGGAAGCATTCGTTTTAAGGGAATTTAGGGGAATCTAAGGAAAAAAATTTTTTAGGGGAATCATTCAAAGGAAAAATTAGGAGTGTCTCATTCACTTCCTGTTGGGCCTTATATTTTTTTAAATTTTTTCTCCTCATTTTTGAATTGTTTTGTGATATTTTTCTTGTTTATCATGCTTCCAGTTGGGTAGCTAAAATATTTTCTAAAAAAAATTTTTTTCTGCACCTAAAAATCAAATAAATTGGAAGGGCGCGACGTCTAATTTCCTTCCTTCCCCTACCTAAAGTCTCCGCCTTTTTCCTTCTCTCTCAATTTTTTACATGTTCACCTCATTAATTTTTTTTTCTTTCTTTCAAAATTCAATTCAGTGATCAGCATCTATAAATGGAATGAAGAAATTTAAAGAAAAAAATTTTTTCCCCTTCCCCCCTTCTAAAAATGTTTGTCCGACCGTCCGTCGCGCTTTCATTTTGGCTGCTTTCCCCCTCTTTAAATTATTCCTCCTCTCCTTTTAATTTTCTCTCTCTTTCCTTTTTTAATAAATTTTGGCAATTTAAATATTTCTTAATTTTATTTTAAAATAATTTTTAATTTTAATTTTTTAAGAAAAATGTTAGAAAATGGCTTGAAAAATTTGGACGACTCTTCATTAATTTTGCATCATTTGGGAGGGTCTTTTGTCCATGCACAAATTGTAGAAATTGAAGAAAATGAAGATTATAATATAAGCAACACAAGTACAAATTTAAATTTATTTTCATCTTCTTCGTCATTATTCCCTTCATCTTCCCAAAGATCTCCTCTGCTTGAACCAAATTTTGTTGATGAAATTTGGCCTGCTACAAATTCGTCTTTATTTCATTCTCATCCATTAATTGCAATTTTAATCTCAATTTTTATTTTTTTATTAATTTTAATTACTGTAATTGGAAATTTGGGTGTTTGTGCTGCAATTTTGTTAGTTAGAAAATTAAAAGCGCAACCTGCAAATTTGTTGCTTATATCACTTGCTTTGGCTGATTTTTGTAAGTTTGAATTTTACAAATTGTAAATTAATTTTTGAATTTACAATTTGAGGAAAGTTGTAAAATAAATAAACTTTTTTTACAAATTGTGAAACTTTTCTGAAATTCTAACGTTTTTACAAATTGTAAAATAACAATAAATTAATTTTTGTCAAGTTTTACAATTTCCGTAAAGTTGTAAAATTAAATAAACTTTCTCTGGCTATTATTGAAAACTTTTTAATGTTAAAACTTTTTTTTACAAATTGTAAAAGGTTGGATAAAAATTCTAGTACAATTCCGGAAAGAAAAGTTTTACAAATTGTAAAAGAAAGTTTTACAATTTCGAGAAAACTCCGTAATTGTCAAAACTTTTTTTGAACTTCTAACAATAAGCATTTTACAAATTGTAAAAGGTTGGAAACTTTTTTCGCAAATTGTAAAACTTTTTTTAGGAATTGTAAAAACTTTTCTGAAATCCTAATTTTTTACAAATTGTAAAATGCTGGAAACAATTTTCCCACAAATTTTATTTTCTTTATTTTTATAGGTGTTGGCCTTTTTGTAATGCCTTTAGCTGCAGTTTATGTTTTGGAAGATCGTTGGATATTTGGTAAAAATTATTTTAAAAATCTAATTCAAATAAAAATTTTAACAGGTGATATTCTCTGCCGTTTTTGGGTCACTGCCGATTTAACTTTGTGTACAGCTTCAATTTTAAATTTGTGTGCAATTTCTGTTGATCGACATTTGGCTGTGACTAGGTTTTTTTAAATTTTTTTTAATTAAAAAAAATTAAATTTTTTTTAAAGAGCACTTCGATATTCGGCATTACGTACTCGAAGACGTATTTGTTTATATATTTGTATTGTTTGGTTGGGTGCTTTGTTAGTTTCTGCTGCACCTTTAGCATTGTTACCGTTTCCAAAAATTGAGCAATATTGTCAGGTTTTATTTTTTGAATTTTAATTTGTGGGGGTTTGGTCAGAAAAAAATTTTTTTTTAATTTGTGGGGTTTGGTCAAAAAAATTTTATAGGAGTCTGTCAAAATTTTTTTAAATTTTTTAAAACATGGAGGGTTGGCCAGAAAAAAATAATTTTTTTAATTTGGGGTTTGGCCAGAAAAATTTTTTTTCTCATTTTAGAATTCCCATCAAAGTACTTCATTTTCAATTTTTTTATTTTTATTTATTCCTTCCTTGTTTTTGGACCACCCATATATATTTATTTAAACACCCGTTTCTCTTCCAATTTTCAATCCTTTACTTCAATTTGTTTTATAACAAAGCTGTGCGTCATACAAAAATTTTTTTAAACGCCAAAAAATTTTAAAAATGAAGAAATTGCTTTAGCGCACATTTTAACGTTTTTATATGGGCAGAATATTCCAAAAAAAATAAAAATTCCATGAGAAAAATGCTCGCTCATTTTTTGACTCTCCTCTTCCAGGGAGAGTCTCAACAGCTTTGCCAATAGTTTGATTTATTTGTATTATTTACCTAACAATTTATTTTATTTTTTTCTAATTTATTGAGCAAATAAACAAATTGTAAAAAAATTCAAAAAAAGCTAATAAAAAATAAAGAAGGAAAAGGAAGCCAAAAATTGGAATTTTTAAAAGGGAAAGAATAAATTAAAATATAAGGGGGGAAGAAGAAAAAATATTTTTTAAAATTTTTTGAAATTTTTTAATGAAAAAAATTTTTTTTGACCAAACCCCGAAATAATTAATTTAAAAAATAAATTTAAAAAATAAAAAATATTTTTTAAGGTCTCACAAAATCGTGTTTATCAAATCTATGCAACAATTATTGCGTTTTGGGGTCCATCATTAATAATGGTTATTGTTTATGTTAAATTATGGAGTGCTGCGAAAAGAATGCATAGACAAGATCAATTAGTATTTTTTAATTTTAATTAAATTTGAGAAATCGACAAGAGGTTTGGAGTTTTTAGAAATTTTCAAAAAAATCAATTGAAAAGCTTTTTGAGAAAAAATGAATTTTTGGTTTAGTTGGTAAGGTCTAGGTTTTGTCTTATTCGTGGAGATCGTGGGTTCGACCACTTTAGTGGACGTTTTTTGGAAACTTAGGTTAGATGAGTCTTCACAGATTTTCAGAAATCATCTCATAAACTTTTTAATAAAAAATTGATTTTTGGTTTAGTTGGTAAGGTCTACCTTGTTTGGAGGTCGTGGGTTCGACTCCTTCCGGGCAAATCTTTTTAATTTTTTGTTATATGCTCTACTAAACCATTTTAAACTAAAATAAAACACAGAAATTATTTTCAAAATTTTTTATAAAAGGTTTTACGTTGGCAAGGAGTACATTTACCTTCTGATGGAGATTTAGAAGACGGACTTCCACCTCCAACAACAACAACAGCTAAATCTTTATTTAGAAATGATTCAATAGCACGTGCAAATGCTCGATTTCTTTTTGCATTGCGTATGTCAGCACAAAAATTTGGATATTATGATCATCAAAATAATAAAACTAATGGAGAAGTTGTGAATGATGATGAAAATTTAAGAATTGAAGTTAGAACAAGTGCTAGTAGTAGTGGTGGTGGTGGAGGATCTTCTTCTACTTTGGGGACTTTACGTGTTCCAATAGTATTTTTTTAGAAATAATAATTTTTTTAATTTTAAATATTTTTAAGGTATTAATTATTATGAGTGCCTTCATAATTTGTTGGGTGCCATTTTTTATTTTAGCTTTGGCAAAATCACAGCATTGGGTAAATTATGTTCCTAGATGGCTTGATTCACTTACATTATGGCTTGGATATTCTAATAGGTTTCTTTGAAAAATTTTTATTTGGGGTCTTTTTTGGTTCCGAAGTCAGGTTTAGATTCCCTTAATAACTAGTTGTGCCCATTGGGGTATGACGGTAAGTTACGTATGCAATTCCTATTAGGATACTCTGGCGGTAAAATTTTGCTCTGCCCGTTGGAAAGCCTAACGGCTTTGGGGCGCGCTTCGCGCGCTGCTAGAAACGGTAAAGATTGCCCTGCCTTTTCATTGCTTCGGGCCTTCGGCCATCGCCGGTGAAGTTTAGCTCTGCCTTTTCATTGCTTCGGGCCTTCGGCCCTCGCGATTAATTTTGGGTTGGATCTTAAGCTCGGGCCTTCGGCCCTCGCGATTCGTTTTGGGATGGGTCTTAAGCTCGGGCCTTCGGCCCTCGCTATTCGTTTTGGGATGGATCTTAAGCTCGGGCCTTCGGCCCTCGCGACCCATTTTGGGATGGATCTTAAGCTCGGGCCTTCGGCCCTCGCGACCCATTTTGGGATAGATCTTAAGCTCGGGCCTTCGGCCCTCGCGACCCATTTTGGGATGGATCTTAAGCTCGGGCCTTCGGCCCTCGCCGTAACTCCTCGGCCTTCGGCCCTCGCGACCCATTTTGGGATGGATCTTAAGCTCGGGCCTTCGGCCCTCGCCGTAACTCCTCGGCCTTCGGCATCGAGCGCTCGGGCCTTCGGCCCTCGCACGGCAGGCCTCCGGCCCGCCGTTTGGGGGCCTTCGACCCCCAAACCCCCCTCACCCGAAATTTCGACCTTTTGTAACTTTGTACAAAATGGTCAGAAAATTTTGCAAAAAATATTTTTAAGCTCAGCTTGATGAGAGCTTTCGATTGATATAAAATTTGGCCCTATATTTCGATTTTTCCAAAAAAAATTTTTTTGGCCGAAAATTTCTTCCGAAAAATTCACGTAATTTTTCAAAAATTCATAACTCCCCAAAAAGTGACCCTTTTGAAACATTTTAAAAGCTTAATATATAGTAAAAATTCTGCTCTATTTTATAAAAATATTTACAACCACCCTCAGCCTCGATATACCCCAGAAAATTTAAAAAACCGAAAAATTTTGAATTTTCAAAAAATCGACCCTACCAGGCTTCGGGTTAAATTTTTCAAAAATTTAAATAGCTCAAAAAATTTGTAATATTTTGCTCTATTTTATAACCCTTATTTCGTTTGGCTATGACAAAAACATACAAAGTTATGCCCAATTTAAATTTACCAAAAAATTTCAAAAGGGGTACCCCTTCAAAAATGGGTCAAAAATTCGACCTCGAGAAAAATATGTTTTATGGTACTCCAAAGGGTGCTGAACACGAATCTAAAGTCCGTTTATTTTTAAAAATTTTTAAAAAAAAGTTATACCCAAAAAACCGACCACTTTTGGCCCCAAAAATGCCACTTTTTGCCCTATAACTTTCCCAGACTCAAGTGAACCCCCAACAAAGTATATATTTTTAGAGGTTTCAAGGGACGCTCTACAAGATAGGATACTAAAATCGAGTTTCAATTCACGCGTTAAAAAGTCGGTTTTGGCGAGGTCACTTTGGTGCCCATAACTATGTCAGAAAAAAATTCCAGACTCAAGTGTCCCCCAACAAAATTGTAGTACACTTAGTGCCCTATTATGCCAAAAAAGAGTTGAAACCGTTTGCCCAAGTTTAACCACTTTTATAATTACACTCGATGGGAGCCACCCTTCACGGTAGGGGTTCGGGACATTTTGGACCTTTTGAGTCTCATAACTTTGCCCAAAATGGTCAGAAAAATTTGAACCAAATTTTTCCAGAACCTACTCATGGAGCTCTATCGAATGGCATATAGTTTGTAAATTGTCGGTGAATTTCGTCGGACACCATGTGTCATTTTGGGACGAGATGTACAATTTTTAGCCAAGGCCACAGCCTCAGGCGTTGATCCCAGGCCTCCAAGATTTTTCCTACGATATAGTACATATCCCAACTGGAGTTCCTCCCAGCAAGCACTTTTTGCTCACACTTCACCCCTCCGCGCTATTTCCATTTGAAAAACCACCCATGGCCGTTTCAGTGCGAAAACGACGTTTCAGCGCCGAGGTCATAATTTTCCTGAATAGAGCGCAAAAAGTTACAGGACAAATCCACCTTTGAAAAAATTCCTCGGCCTTCGGCCGGGGCGCAGGACTTTTTTTAAAGGATTTTACCCCCAAAAATAGGGACAAGTTGGGGTTTTTTATATAAGTATTAAATAAAGAAGAAAAGATTATTGTTAGATCCGGGCAGGCATTCTGCGCCCTCTGGCAGTTATTAGGTTTGGAGTTCCCCAAGAGATTTCTTAAGTAAGCGAGAGGTAAAGTAAAAAATTTCCTGGCAGTTATTGCTCTTTTAATAGATTTTTAACCTCTCACCTAGTATAAACGTTTTAAATACTAGCCAGCTGGATCTCCCTTATTCCTTCACTCAACGTTTTTTGGAAATTAAGGGAAATTAGACATAGTCCCATATTTTTTCAGCATGTTAAACCCAATAATTTATTGCAAATATAATCGAGAATTTCGTGTTCCATTTGGAGAAATGCTTTGTTGTCGGTTTAGAACAATTCAGGACGTTATGAGAAATGAAAGTAAGTTTTTGAAATTTTTCTGAGAAACTTAGGGGTTGGGGAAATTTAAAAAAATTTTTTAAAAAAGGTTATTATGCTAAATTTGGTTCTCCAAGAATTTCTGAAACAAAAATTGGGGGAAATCAACAACGGTCATCTGGAAATAACTATTATACTAAAAGAAAAAGAAACAATACAGAAAGAAGAGCACCACAAAATGGATTTTTAGATTCTTCAAAGACGAAGAAAAATTATGGAATTAAAAGGAATAGTAGTCCTTCTATTTTGATGGAATCATCAAAATAAAAAAATTTTTTTTTGGTAAAGAAAAGAATAATCTCCGAGGAATCCCGGTGGAAAAATTTTTTGAATTTCTACATACGCTTGCTGATCTTCAGCTTTTTTTAAATGTGCAAAGGGTCATTTTGGCTATATTTTTTATTCGAAAAAATGCCAAAAATGGTCCTAATAATTTTTTATTGTTCTCGTTTTTTAAAAGATTTTATATATTGCTCAGATGGTTGGGATTTTTTGACAAGTTTAAGGATTTTAGGAAGAAATTTTAGAAAAAGTAATTTAGAAGTAATTTTAGAAAAGCCCGAATTTTGCCTGTTTGGCATTTCGACAGCTTTTAAGGGGTTGGCGTGAAGATAGAGCGTAGGCCTACCATTAGCTAGAAGATACAAGGTCTACACAGGCTAACAAATCTCCAAGTAATCCATGTACGAGGCCCTACCGACCCGAGGTCATAATGATCCTAATATAAGTGAAAAAATATTTTCAAGTTCTACACCCAGTGAGAAACGAAAAATGTTTATTTATAAATATTAAAAAAATACTTTTTAAAAAAGTTAAGCAGCATTGTTATTTTCAAATTCCAAAGCTTTTTGAATCATTTGTTGAGCATTAGTTTTCAATTCGTCATTCTTCTCTTCCCCATAAGATGTTAGCAACGATTCAAGTTCAAGACGTGCTTTTTGAACATTTTTTGAAGCTAAACTAAACATTTGTTTACTTTCTTGTAAAACTTCACCAGCCTTCTTAAAGGAATTTTTAAAAAATTAAAAGAAAAAAAAATAAAAAAACTTTAATCATATATTCATCAGGCTCTTGAGATTCTTTTAATGAATTAATTTTGCTTGATTGTTTTTGTACTTCAGTCTTATAAGAATTTGCTTCTTGTACATAACGCTTCAAAACTCCAGTTTTTATTTTAAGATCTTTTTCAGACATTTTAGAAATCTAAAAAAACAAAAATTTAATAGTAGGATTAGGAAAATGTTTGGTTCTTGGAGGTGCAAAAAGGATTTGTGAGAGGAGCTGGATTTTGTGAGAGAGTGTGTGCAGAGAAATAGAGCGGATTAAAATAAAAGATAATAAGGTCTTCATCATATTTTGTCAAAACAGGCTAAACTACAGTTTCCGTACCAGGCTCAGAATTGAACGATTTATATGTCATTCGAAAGAGCTCGTCGAGCTGAGTCGAATGACACCAAAATTTTTCAGCGGAAAAAATTCTGAGCCGAGTTACAGACCCCTAAGTTCAAAAAACCATAGGGGGGACCAAGCTGTTTTCTGGGGGTGAAAAATTCGAATATGCAAATTATACGTCATTCGAAAGAGCTCATCGAGCTGAGTCGAATGACACCAAAATCAATGAAATCAGACTTGATTTGACAAAGTTATGCTCGTTTGTTTTAGCTCCTTACCTTTGTTCTCCGTGGATGTTCTTGCTGCTGCGGAGGAAGCTGGGCATGCCCATCACAGCGATAATTGGAATAGGATTAAGTTACGAGCCCAAACCCAGAGCCCGTAGACTCCCCGCGAGGCGCGTGCCGCAAAACTCCGCGCGAAGCGCGGAGTTTTGCACAAGCGCCTCGCCGACGCCCCATAGGTTTACGTTGTTTTTTCTGTCATAACTTTGAACAAACTTGACCAATCACGGCGATTTTGGTGTCATTCGACTCGGCTTGAAGAGCTCTTTCAAATGAGCTATTAATTGCATATTCGAATTTTTCACCCCAAAAATCATCTTGGTCCCCCCTATGGTTTTTCGATTTTCGGGGGCCTGTAACTCGGCTCAGAATTTTTTCCGCTGAATAATTTTGGTGTCGTTCGACTCAGCTCGACGAGCTCTTTCGAATGACATATAAATCGTCCAATTCTGAGCCTGGTACGGAAACTGTAGTTAGGCCTCAAAACACATTTTGCCAATACGGCTAAAAATAGTAGGCAAAACGGTAGTTTTTGTCCTTATTGGCAAAATGTGGAATTGGCAAAATATGATTTAATAAGATTAGACTTCATCAATATTTTGCCAACCCACATTTTGCCAATAAGACTAAAAACGACGTTTTGCCTAAGTCTTTGTTGACAAAACGGTAGTTTTTGCCCTTATTGGCAAAATGTCGAATTGGCATAATATGTTTTCGGATAAATTGTCATTTTAAGAAAAGTCATTTCGCCATTTTCATAATATCTACATATTTTCAAAAATATTTTTTCAAATTTTATTCTTTTTCTGATTCCTAAAAATGAAAGGAGAAATATTTGCTTCAACTTCACAATTAAATTTAGATGTTCTTCTAGATAATGGGCAATCTTTTAGGTATTTTAGTTATTTTTAGTTAAAAATAAATAAAAAATTTTTTAGGTGCAAAAAGGAACAAAATCAAAATTGTTGGATTTGTGTATTTTATCATCGTGTTTGGAGGATATGGAGAATAGATAATGAAAGGATTGGATATGAAGTTTGCCATAATTTTGACGAAGAAATGAGGGATTCTAAAGATTTACTTGAAGAATATTTTCAGGTTTTTTGAGGAAATTTTTTTTTTGAATTTTAACAGAAAATGATTCAATTAGTTGGATATAGATTTGGAACAACTTTACAAGGAGTGGGCTTCAAAGTGTAGTTATTTTCGAAAATTGATTGAGGAGAAGGGGGAGGTTTTTAAAGGAATTCGTATATTGAAACAAGAACCATTGGAGGTTTTTTAAATTAAAAATTAATTGATAGCGTATTTGAAAATTTTAAGGCTTTATTTGCATTCATATTCTCTGCTAACAACAATATTTCGAGAATTTCAAGTTTGAACTAATTTTTTAAAATTTAGTTTTTCTAGTGTGTAGGCTTTTCCTTAAGAGATTGGCATTTTTGTCTAATGGGATTTTGTGACTATTTAGAGCGCCCAAGACTGATTGGTTAGAGACTTAATTGAGACAAGATCTCAAACAAAAAGCTCGATTACTGAGGTGGATATTTTTCGAGTTTTTTCGTCTACGGCCCTTTCAGTCCTGTCTCTAGTTTTGGCACTATTTACAAAAAAAAAACAAAAATGACCAGTGGTCAATTATTGTCAGATAAACGTCTCATCGTCTGTTCTATTCCGAAGACTTGAAGAAATGATTAACAAGACAAAATTTTCTGATTCCTAAGGTTAAAATTTTAATAAAAATCTATTTTTTAGAAATGGTTGAACAATTTTGTGTTCTTTATGGAACTAAAATAGATTTAAATAATGGCACTTTTTATAATTTTCCGACATTTCTACAATTAACTAACAATTTATCTTCAATGGAAGAAACATTAAGAAAATGCGGATTTGGTTACAGAGCCAAAAATGTTTCTAAAACTGTTGAAAAACTTTTAAATGAAGAATCAATTAAAAATGCTGGAGGGGCTGAATGTTGGTTAAAATCTTTGGGGGAATTAAAATATGTGGAGGCATCAAAAGAATTGCAAAAATTACCTGGCGTTGGACCTAAAGTTTGTTTTTCTTAGATTCTTAGGGGATTGAGACATTGAATCGAGACATTTGGTCCCATATCTTAAAAATTGACTTCTTATGTGTATTATTGATCGAGCTGGATCTGGACCAACCCCTGTGTTTTTTCATGTACCCAGAGTCCAGGCAATTTTTGACCTTCCTGAGTTTTTCCTGGGCCTGGGTTTTTTCTCCTATTTTTTCATTTCCCAAATTTTTTTTTAAATTTTTATTAGGTCACCAACATTTCACAAAATTTAATTTTTTCAATTATTTATTTTTAAAATAGGTTTCTGATTGTTTTTGTTTAATGGCATTAGGAATGCATAATGTTGTACCTGTTGATAGACATATATTAAAATTAACAATAGAAATATATAAACCAACATTTTTAAATTTAAATAAAACAAAAACGACAACAAATTTAACAGAAAATTTATCAAAACAAATTGGTATTTTTTGAAATTTTTGGGGGGAAATTTCAAAAAAATTTTTTTAGGTCAATTTTATATTGAATTATTTGGTGATTATGCTGGTTGGATTCAGTCAATACTTTTTAGTACAAGACTTGGAAGGTTTAAAATTAAATAGAGAAATATTTTTGAGGTTTTTTTAAAGTTTAATATTTTGTCCTTTTTAAGTTCATAAAATTTTTTGATTCCCGGGACTTAATAAGAGACACGAAGTCATCTGACTAGAAAATTTTTGTAAAAAATATTTTGTCTTATTATGTAGGCCCCAAAGAGACTAAAACTTTTCTCTTCACTTTTTGGATAACTTTCTTAATTTCTAAAATTTTTTTTAATTTTTGGGTGATTGAAGGCCAATAGGTTTAGGATTTCTAGTTTTCCGACTCCGCGTATGAGACAAAAAACTTTTTTTTTACAAAATTTTTTGGTAACGTTTTCTGGGTGTTCCTTATATTTTATGATTCTTGTGGGAGAGATAAAGCTCATTTTTAAGGAAATCTTTCCGTTTATTTTATTTTTCCTTAAAGTCCCTCACTTTTTACTAAACTTCTTTTTTAAAAACAATACAAAAACACTCCGCAACAGCTTTCTTTCTTTAAAAAAATAAATATCTTTCTATTTAACTACTAATACTATTCACACGCTCCAAATAAAGCAATATAGGGGGTCCTATGCTTGTTTAGTAGAGAGAGGGAGAAAAAATAAAAGTCGATATAAAGCTTTTTTTGGGGGGAAAATGCCAAGGGAAGTGGAGAAAGAATAGAAAAAATAAAAAAATTTTTGGAGTAACCTAACTATTATATATTGGCCATAAAGCTTTTCCCTCTCTTTTCTTGTCAATTTAAAAATTTTTATCTTTCTCTCTCTACAGGGACACGCCCAAGTAGGCGCGCGGCCATTACGGCGCAAAGCCATAACTTGATAAAAAATTTCCGGCCCTAATCAATTCTGGTAACAATCTCTTTAGCTCGATGAGAGGAATCGTTTAACACTAGATTTGGTAAGATTCGAAAATTTTGAAGCATGTTATGGCTGCGCGCCTACTTGGGCTGTACCCCTCTCTACATATATTTTTTGTTATGTTGGTTGCTAATCTCTTTTCTTCTTTATTCTTCTCGTTTTCTTCGGCAATTGCGTAATTCGTGTAAAAATGCTTGTTAGCGCGTTCCCGTTTATTTTTTTCCGTTTTTTAAAAGGAATTAAAGAAGCAAAAAAACAGGGGAAAGAAATCGTTAGAAAAAAAAATATTTTTTGGCATTTTGTGTTGCTCCAAAAAACATTTCCTTTTCCTTCTTTCTCTTTTTTTCCTTTTTCTGGTCCAAAAAAGCTTAATCTTTGTAAATATTTTTTTGGGTGAGGCATTTATTTATTAGAAAGAAAATATTTTTACAGAAATTTATTTTAATAAGCAAGCAAAAAAATATTAATTAACAAGCAAATCCCCTCTTCATCACGCGCATTTTTTAATTAGAAAAATGTTTAAGCTTTCTTAAATTAATTCTAGAGATTAATTCCAAAAAATAATTATTTCAAAAAAATAATTAATTTATTCAAAAATGCATTAATTTTTGGTCTATAATTATTTTTTTAAAAATGCTAACGGTAGGAATCGAACCTTCCCTCTATTTTATTTAATTTTTAGTTAAAGACAGGGCAGTAATCCACTAGACCACAGAACCATAAGGGGGAAAATGTGGGTATTTTGAAGGGATTTTTTCGGATTTTTTTTATTTTTAAAGCGTGATTTTTTAAAGTTTTTTTTTCTATTTTTTCGCTAAACTTGGGTAACTTTTTTGTTTATTCTCTTATATTTATGCGAAATATTTTTTTAATTTTTGGGGATAATTAGGGGAATTTTGAAGGGATTTTTTCTGATTTTTTATTTTTTTGTTAATTTTTTTGATAAACTTGGGTGATTTTTGTATATTTTTACGGATTTTTTCTTATATTTATATGTTAAATATTTTTTAAATTTTTTTGCTTCTTTTCCATTCTGCTGCCAACTAAAATTAAATAAATAAATACAATTTTTGCCCTATTAAATAATTTTTAAAAATTAAAAAAATGTCCAACTAATTAGCCTAGTAATTTTACAAAAAAAATAAGGGGGTGTGAAATTAGAGACTCTCTTTTTATTATCCGTTAACAAAAAATAGATTGTTTAAAAAGGCGTTATTTGTGCTTTCTATTAAAATGAGAGAGAAATATTTTGGTATTCATGCAAATACAATTGTGAGGTCATCACATCCGCTTTTTCTTTTTTTTTAAGTACATTTGGGTATAAAAAAGGTTTTTTAAGTAGAAAAAATATTTGTTGAATTATATTTAGAGATTTAAAGGTTGATGTTTCCAAGTTTGTTTAGGTTGGTGCTTTGGTGTAGTTGGAAAGTTTCTGTTTGTGAGGCATGTAGGGGTCAAGGGTTCGAATCTTTTTGTTGGAAAACCATGTGTTGAAATTAAATTGGGTTGTAAATTTGATTTTTTCTATTTAATTTTTTATTTTTTAAGTCAAGAATTTTTTAGATTTTTAGGTTGGTGTTTTGGTGTAGTTGGAAAATTTCTGGTTTTGACTTGTGAGGGGTCGGAGGTTCGAATCCTTTTGTTGGTAGATGATGGTGAAAATTAAGAATTGGTGTTATTTTTCATTTTTTCGATTTATTTTTTAAGTTACAATTTTTTAGAAAAAAATCAGACTCAAAAAAGCCTACTTTTCGCTACTTTTTCTTCACTATATTTTTGAGAAGCCTTTATTTTTATCCCTTAAAATGTCATACGTCGTAAAATTAATTATTTATTTGACATTAAGGATTATATTAGTCTTTCACTTTTTTTCTCAATTCTTAATGCCTCTCTCTATTTATTTTTTAATATAAAAAATTTCTGTTTTTTTCTAATTTTTGTTTAACCAAACACAAGCATTTATTCGTTCGTTCCATACCACTTCACACAATTTTTAACACATTTTTTGGTCGAAATATTTTTTATTTTATTTTTAAAAAATATTTTAATCTTTATAAGGCTTCTTTCTGTCTCTTATCCCTTTTTATCCGCACTTTAAAAACTTTTTTTTTCTTCCAAAAGTGTGACTCAACAAGAATTATAAGAAATTTAATGTGCGCCATAAGCATGGCGTTTTTGGCGTTATTTTTTAATTTTAATATTTTGAGGGATTTTTTGCTTTTAAGAGTTTAGGGTTTGAAGAAAATTTTTGTTGAGACTTCTAGCATTAAATTTAAAAAAATTTGGGGTTGTTAGGCCTTGAAAAATTTCTCAAAAATTTTATGGCGCACACCTTAAGGCCTAAAGCATATTTGCGCATTATTTTAAAAATTTTCTGTTTTTAATTAATTTTTGCGTGTTCTTTACTCAATTTTTAAGCCCTAAAAGTGTGTATTAATCCTCCTCATATTCCATTATTCATTCATCTCTTGGTCATTGCTGAAATATGTTTAGTGGGAGTTGTTGTTGTTCCTGGCAACGACTAGATATACGTAATATTCTCTTTTTTCTTCCGGAATGAAAAAAGAGGAAAGGGAAGGGAGAGGGGAGATAATTTTTCATTTACTGTTAAACTAGGCAGAAAAAATATTTTTTTATGTTGCATAATCATGAGATATGTTGGGGGTAAAAATGGGAGGTTTTTTGAAAATTTTTCTGTTCAGGACTCTAATGACCCGAAAATTTTTCCGTAAAATTTTCAACAAAAAAATTTTTTCTCTTTTTGTTTTAATTTATTAAAGTATTTTAATCCTTAAATCTTTTAAAATTATTTTTTTATATAATCATCCTCATCTTTTTACAAATATTTTTTTCTTTCTTCAAATTTTAAGCCCCTTTTATTGAAAGGCACACGGTTACTTAACATTTCTCGCGCTACATGGAATTTATCTCTCCTTTATTTTTTTAAATTTATTAAATTTTGTTGCTTCATATTTTCTCTTCTCATTCATTTTACGAATATTTCAAAAAATTTTTTAAATCCACAAAAAAGGGGAAAAATTTATTCCAAAAAATTTGCTCCCCTTTGAGTCTTGTTTTTGCCCTTTTCCGTTTCTCAGACTCTAACGTACAGTCAAAAATAGTTTTTGATCACATCATTTCTTGTCTATTTCCTATCAATACTAGGCAGACTAATTTTACTAAAAGTGTCCTTATTTGGCAACTTTAATTGATCGATATTACGAGATTAATAACAGCATGTCGTCAAGAATTCGTGTATTTTTCTTTTTATTTTTTTTTGTGGTGGTGAGGTATGTAAATTCTTTTCAATTTTGAAATGTGGACATTTCGCCAATACGGCTAAAACCTTGTGTTTTGTCACTAAGTTTGTTGACAAAATGCAGGTTTTTAGCCTAATTGGCAAAATGTGGGTTTGGCAAAATGTGTTAAATGTCTAACTTAACTTGTGTCTAACCTTAACTTGAACTCTTGCAAGAGTAGAGAAGGAGAAAAAAAGAAAGGTCAAATATACTCAAGTTAGAGTCTAGTTTAACTTTGTTTGATTAGCTTGTGACTTTAATAAACCTTTTTGAGGATTGTTAAATTAGAGAGAAGAAAAAGTTAGAGAATGTAGGGGAAAAGGGACTTTTTTTAGGAAATTTTTGTGGGTCGATTTTATTATTATTTTTTTGCTTTAAATTTCTTAGTTTCCGGATTCGTTTTTTTCTTTATTAAAAAATTTAAATGTGTCAAATGACGAATTTTTGTTTTATCAGCGAAAAATGCTTTGATAATTTTATTTTTTAAAAAATGTTTAAAAATTGAAGGAAAAGCAATAAAAATGTTGTTTGTTCCAAAAATCGAGGAAAGGGGAGAAGAAGGTGGGAAGGGAAGGAGGAGGGATGGAGTTGGAAAATGAATTTTTTTGCACCAAAATTTTAATTTTTATGTCAATGCATTTAATAAACATTGAAAAAAAATTTGTGTTTGTTTGTAAGAAAATGAAAAATGTTGTTAGATGGGACGAAATGTCACCTCATTTATATTTTGTTAAATTTTTTGGTTGAAAATTTTTATAATTAAATTCTCCTTTTTAGATTTTAATAAATAAAATTTAATATTAACCTTCTTTTGATTAATCCTGGCTTATTGTTGACCTATTAATCCTGGCACAAGATGAATATGAGTGGAAGCAGTAAATTTGATTGGCTTTTATCATCGTTAACGCCTAATGAATCTCGTTAGTGTTTAATTTTTTTGAATTTTTTTATAAATTTTCTTTGAAGAAGTCCCCTCAACGGCCGAAATAATTCAAAAGTGTCTGTCTGTGAATCCTTTTGATTTGAAATTTCGAGAAGCAAACCAACAAATTAGTAGTAGTGGACAGCCAGGCAGTATTGGAGATTCACAACTAGTTGGGACATCGGGAAATTTACCGGCGACTTCAGGTTTTTTTGAATAAAAATTTTGGGGCTCCTTAAGATCTTGGGAGTTCACTTGGTTTTAATTGGTAGCGGGGTTGTTTCCGGAGGTGAAACGGAATTCCGATTTCCGACAGTTCCATTTCCTGCATATTTGTCATTTCCGATTTACCTCTGGTTGTTTCTACGGACCTTTCGACTTATTTTTCAAGGTTTCCTCGTTTTTCTTGTAAAAGAGTTTATAGGAATTGCACCCAAATTTTAGTTTTGTCGGTGACTTTATTTTAACTGGAACCCCACAGTTTTCGTTTACGGCCGTTTTTCGACTCCTTGTTTGGATTAAGAACGAAACACACCGTTTTTCGGTTCGGTTAACTGACCGTTAATCCAAGTCTTTCAAATTCCGTTAACTTGTATCTCGGACTTTTAAGAATGCCCTATTTTTCTTGTCAATCTATCCATAAAGTACCCAAAAACACAAAATTTCTCAACTTTTCTTTATTTAAAAACAGTTTTGTCTTCAGTTCTCAACTTGCCCCCATCCATTTCGTCAACTCATTCTCCTGGAATTTTTTCAAATATTAATGTTCTCACGGCTGATATTGAAGGAGAAATTCGTAAAACTATTGATCTATCTAGAAAAGTTCAACAGGTTTTTTGAAATTTTTGTGAGTTTTTTAGATGTTTTTACTTCTTTTTAGCTTCGAGAAAATGGATTGTTAAGCAAACAAGATGATAATCAACAACTAAAGACGCCGTGTACTTCTGATGTTTTAAATGCTGTAAATGAGATTTTTATTTTTGGGGGATTATTTTAAAAAGCAGAGGAAATGGAGGGAGATTTGGGAAAAAAACTCGATTACCTTTTCATTTTACCTCATTAAGTCATTGGGCAAGGATCGAACCTTTTACCTCTTCGAATTTGTTGAAGGATACGTGCTCAAAGTTCAAATTTACTGGGGCAGACTTTCTCCTTCCCTTGCTTAAAATAATCGGACAAACATCGAGAACCTTCGATCCTCCTTATGGTAGGTAAATGGCCCACAAAATCAATTAAAGTTCCCAGGCTCATGCCTGTCTGACTGACATGAGACCTTCAGCTTACCAGGTCTGGGAGCTATGACTAGGTTTTTTGTAGATATAAACATTTTGGATCCTTATTGCTAATCATGACTTAAAATTTAAATAAAGATTTATTTTTAGGTCCTAGATATGAGCTCTACCCACCAAATTGGAAGTGGTCAATCTTCTCCTTTTATCCCGTCAACATCTCTAATAGCTGCAAGCCTTTCTGGTCTTAAAGCTGCTCTTAATTCTACAATAGCTAATTCAGGTTTTTAAAACAAAATTTGACTTGAATCAGAATTTTTTAAGGAATTCCCACCAACAATAATCCTCTCCCTCAACAACAACAAAATAATTTAATTCCAACAAGTTCAATTCCAAATTTAAAAATTGAAGCAAATAATATCTCTTTAAATATTGGAGGTGGATTGGATGGGAGCTTCACACCTATAGGTACTTATTTAATATTGTCCCTTTTTGAGTATCAGATTAATTCTTGTATTATTTCTGCCATTTCAGTTTTACTTAACTTATCTTTTACTTGCAAGGAAGGAACCATTCTTTAATGGAACCACGAATTCGGTTTAAGAAAAGGGGTTGAAGCTAAAGAGCAAGAAGATCGTTCTTTTTTCTTTTCTTTCTACCCCAGACTCTAGCGGTCCAACTTTGACTGGCCATAACTTTTTTAAAAAATTTTTTGCAAGAAAACGGATAGCACTTTGCAATAGTAAGTCGGGAGTCCACTATTGAATAGTACCAAGAAAATATCGAATTCTTGGTTACAGTAAAGAATGGTTCTTTTTTAAAATTTCTGGAAGATGAATGTTTGACAATAAAAAAAGATTACTATGAGATGAGACTCAAATATTGCTAGGGATGGAATATTAAATTAAGTACCCGCTTTTAGGACTTGGAGGGAAAACAATGTCAACACCAGATTTACATTTAACATCTACTTCATTGGCTACTATCCCCGTATTTAAACAACAACAACATTCCCCAATTTTGTCAAGGGAAGCTTTGGCTGCTGTTTTTCAATCTTCTACTACCTCCTCTTATGGACAACTACACCAGCAAAGAATTAGTCGTCAAAATAGCCCAAATAATTCAATACAAAATGAAATAAATTTGAGGACATCAACAACACGTTTGGTTAATAGTTGCAATTTGGCTGAGTAAGTGAAATGAATTTTTTTTGAAATTTTTTGAAATTTTTTTGAAAATGGGCTCCCAAAGGTTCCCAGAGTTAACCGAAAATTTGACTGACCATAACTCGGTTCAACTTCATTTTTTCAAGAAAAATGAAGTTGTTTCGAAATGTGAGGTCGGGGGACTTCTCTCGGATGGTGCAAAGAACCAGGCCCTTAGCCGGGGGGAGTTGAATTTTTTGAAAATGGGTTCCTAAAGGTTCCCAAAAATCAAAAAGCTACCAACGACTCCCAAAAACCGAAAAGTTGACTGGCCTAACTCGGCCCAAAATCATTTTTCAAGAAAAATGGAGTTGACTCGAATTGTGAGGTCGGGGGTCCTTTTCGTATAATAACAAGTACAAGTTCTAACCTTTTGGTTGGTGTTTTTTAACTTTGAAAAATTTTCAGGCTAACACCTTCAACTGGTCACTCATCAACAACCACGTTAAAATCTGATGAAGAAAGATGGAAAATAACAACACCTGATCATCAACATCAACCACTTGTTGTTTGTCCACCACAAATTACTATTGTAAGGGGGAAGTTTTTTTTGGAAAAAAAAATTTTTTTTTGAAGGCCCAACAAAGCCCTTATTCAGCAAAATCTTCACCTTCCGAATATAATTGTAATATTAATGAAAATGAGAGTAACATTAAAGAAATTGGACGTCAACAACAGCAACAGCAACAAATGCAAAATAATTATCATGGAAGAGAAAAACATAAAAAATATAAAAAATTTAGTTGTGGAGAAAGCAGGTTTTTTTAAATAAAAATTTTTTAAAGATTAAAAAAATTTTTTTTATTAAAGCGCTGATAGTCAGGTTAGCTCAACTAGAGGAGGAAGAGGAAGACGGTCTGCAATAAAGTAAGGGCATTTTTTACTATTTTTTCGGAGCAGTTCAACTGAGTCCCAGCTCTATAACTCAAGTATGGATTGATAATTTTTAATGTTTTTGGTACCAATGGATAGAGCATTAGATAGGCTACAATATACCTAAAGATCACAATTCTTGACAGTTTGATAAAAAAGTTATGATTTAAAGACTAAAATTTTCTTTAAAAAATCCGATATTTCGGCACTTTATCGATCATAACTTTTTTACCAGTCGGGCAAGAATTTTGATTTTTTGGTATATTGTAGCCTATTTAATGCCCTATCCATTGGTACCAAGAGCATAAAAAAGTGACCATCCCTTCATAAGTTATAGGGTCTGGGACTCGGTTGAGTCGGAACTCAATTGATGTGTACCTAATTTTTTATAAAAAAATTTTTTTTTCTTTAGCGATATGCCGCCAGATGAACGTCGTGTAACCATTTTAGAAAGAAACAAGGCAGCAGCTGTACGTTACAGAAAAAGAAAAAAGTTAGTTTTTCTTTTATTTTTGAAGGAAAAAAATTTTTTTAAGGGAAGAACATGACGAGATTGTTGAAAAAGTGCATATTATTGAACAAGAGAAGAATGCGCTTGAAGTATTTATTTTTTTAGATTTTTATTTTAAAATTTTTAGGGGAAAGGGGAGTTTTTTTTTTGGGGGGGGGGGGGGGGGGTTTACTTTAAAAATTTTTTTCGAACCTGGGCCCTTATTCGGGAAAATTTTCTATTTTTCCGATAAATTTTTTCTTTCCATTCCTGGGTATCAGGAATGGACCGGATTACTCGAAACCCGGACGTTTTTCGACCTAACTAATTTCGAAAACCTGGTTCGACTTCTTTCTTAACTCGTCCCATTCTTAACTCGCTAGGGGGTTTTTTAAAATTTTTTTTTTTCCCCATTTGGGTAGGGGGGCTTTAGCCCTAGAAGACTGGCTACTCCCTTGCTGTCCAATAATATTCTACTTTTCATTCAAAACTTAAAATTTTTTCTTCTTTTTAGACTCAAAATTCTGTTCTTCGAAGAGAATTGGAACGTTTAACATTTTTATTACAGGTTTATTTTTTAGTTGGAAAAAAAATTTTTCTATTTTCTTTTTTAATAGGAAAGAGAAAGTCGATGTATTTGTAAAGCAAATCAATTACAAGTTGGTGTAAGCATAATTGGACCCCCATCACTCCAACATCCACAACCAGATGAATTACATCAACAACGGAGTCCATCAACATCAAGTTTTTTAAATGGTTATAGTTCTGGTCATCCTCATTCGCATCATCATCCTCAACAACAAATACGTCCTGGTTCTGCACATTCTGCACAATAAATAAATACAAGTTTTTTTAAATAATTTTTTGTGAATAGAATTTTAGTTGTTATTTTTTAATAATAATCTCTTTTTTGGCTGCCCAAAAAAATAATATAAAGATGAAAATATTTAAGTAAATTAGGGGATATTTGAGAAAAAAGTTGGGAGAGTGGGACAAAATGTCTCACTTTAATTTTTTGATTTTTCTGAATTTTGGTGTATTTTAAAATAGGATTTTGAGAAAAAATGGGAGGGGGTGGGACGAAATGTCTTACTTTAATTTTTTAAATGAATTAAAATTTTTTTTTGAATTCCTAAGTGAATTTTTAAAAAAAATAACTACATAACTAGCCCGCTTCGCGGGCTAGTTATGTAGTATGATTCTATGCTCTATATTTAGCAGTACACGGTACATTCAATGGAAAAGCCTTGGCGTAAAATTAGGTAAAATTAGGGGATTTGAGGAAAAATTTTTTTTTGAATTCCTAAGTGAATTTTTAAAAAAATATTTTCATCTAAAAATAAATATAAATTTAGCCTCATAAAAATTATGCATGTTAGATATTTACGAAATTTTCTGAAAATTAGTTTTTCCTCTTTTTCTATCTCCTCATTTTTACGGTTTTTTTCCAAAAAAAAATTTTTTCTACTTAAATCACTTAAATATATTCATATATATTTTTTACAAAAAATATTTCTTATTTTTTTCTGACCAAAAATTCTTTTTTTTCAATTAATTTTTTTCCATTTTTGGATTTTTCAAAAGTCAATTGTATGTATATTATATTTTTAATATTTCTGCTGACAATAAAATTTAAATATATACACATTTTCTGTATGTTCAAAAATAAGCTTTATATATACCTATATTTATTTTTTTACAATTGTAAAGAAAAGGTTTATTTTACAATTTGAGTTTTTAGAGCTTATAAATTATTTTTCAAGTTTAAGTTTGAACTTGAAATTGTAATTATAAAATAAATTAATTTAATTAAATATTCTTTTCCTCGTTTCCTTCTCTTTAAAAAATTTTTTTTAGTTATCTCCTCAATTCTTTAAAATAAATTTTTTTTTGTATCCAAACTTATTTTTAGAATTTTATATATTTTTTTTAATAGATCAGAATAGAAGGCAAAATTTTCAAAGATTTTTTTAAAATTATTTGCCTTTGCTTCTGATCTTTTTTTATTTTTTTCTTTAATATTTTGCATTTATAAAATTTCATAGTCTGATTTTTTCCCATTAGAAAAATATTTTATTTCCCGGTTTATATTCATTTTTACGTGTAAATAAAATAAATAAAATGAAATGAATTTTTATGTTTTTAATAAAAATATTAAGTTTTTATTATTGATATTTAAATTGTAAAATGTTTAGAATTTTTATTATTACAATTAAATGGAATCTCAACATGTTTTACAATCCTATTTTGTCTTCAAACTTGTTTTACAACTTGAATTACAATTAATTGTTTGTTTACAACTTTGTTTTTACTCAACATGTTTTACAATTTTTATTTACAATTTTGTTTGCAACATGAATTACAATTGTTTTATGTTTTTACAATTTATTTTGCAACCTTGTGTTTTACAATTCTACAACAAATTTATTGTTAAACTTAAAAATGGGAACTCGTTTCTGGTAGAGTTTATTTTTTGTTTTTTTAAGTTTTACAATTAACCATGTTCATTAGGTATAAATTTAACATTATCCCCATTAATATTTTCTCCTTTCTCGTTCTCATTTTCATCATTTTCTTTTTCTGAGATATCAACTCCCAAATTAACAGCATCTAAATCTACCCCTTTTGTATCAATTAACCAAATATAGGAGGTTAGCAAATTGCAACTTCCAATAGTTGCTACTGTCAAGTATGCAGAAGCACGCCATTTTTCGTTGAAGAAAACGAGCTTTAAGTAAGGGAAAAGTTTTTAGTTGAGGTTGAGATTCTTACAGTTATAAGTTTGCAATTTGTGCTTATTTTTTAAGTTTGTAATTCAAGTTTATTTTTAAAGTTGGTGACTTTAAAGTTTATTCTTTTAAGTTTGTATTTTAAGTTTATTTTCTTAAGTTTGTGATTCAGGTTTATTTTTTAAGTATGCAAGTTTACTTTTGTAAGTGTATGATTTATGGTTATTTTTTAAGTGTGTAATTCAAGTTTTTTTTTGTAAGTTTGTGCTTCAGGTTTTTTTTCGTATGTCCAAGCTTACTTTTGTAAGTGTATGATTTATGGTTATTTTTTAAGTAAGTAATTCAAGTTTGTGATTAAAGTTTTAAGTTTACCAAGGGTGCAAATATTCCACCAACTCTAGCAATCATTGAGCATGAACCTAAAGCTGATGCTCTCATTTGTGTGGGCATTGACTCAACAGCACATAAAACATTAGCATCCCAAGTAAATTCGAGAAAGATTGTTCCAAACAAATTTATTAATAAAATCCAAATTCCCTTGAAATTAGAAATTTTTGAATTTAAAAATAATAAATAAAACAAACATCATATCCAATAATAACTAAAATTGTTAAAAGAATAAAGCTAATACAAACAACAGATTGAGCAAAATGGTGAAGTGTACGTCTTGAGAAGGAAGGCCAATTCGAATCGAGAACAAATAAAAACTAGAGGGGGAAATGGGAGAGATTTTTAAGAGGATTTAAAAAGGAGATACCATTTTTGAGATAATAATAGGGCAAGATAATATCCATTGATTTGCAAAAAAGTCACCAGAAAAATTGGCACTGTTTAAATCAATTGAATATGAAGAAAGTGAAGAACAAAACCACATCATCCAAAGTACTAATAGGCGGCCAAATAATACTTTATCGTGAAAGATTGCGCTTAAAAATGTTTTTAAGTTTGCGATTCAGGTTTTAAATAAAGGATAAGTTTGAGTTTGTAAAACAAGTGTTTAGTTTTGAAGGTGCTTAAGTTTGCAGTTAGAGAGGTTTTGTAAAACATGTTTTTAAGAAAAGTTTGTTTAAGTGCTTAAAAATGTTTTTAAGTTTGCGATTCAAGTTTCAATTTTTTAAGAAAAAAGTTTGTTCAAGTTTGTTTAAGTTTGTAAGACAAGGAATTAAACATACAAAATGTTCGGTCTCTTCTTCACTTCCTTTCTACAAATCTCAACATGTTCAACTGGCTCAAAAGGAATACCAGCAATGCGAGCAATATACCTTTCACTTCTACGCATTTTTTCAGTTTTTCCTTGACTGTGTAACCATGTTGGACTTTCGGGAATTATAAAAGCAAAAATTATTAAAGCTGGAACTGAAGCAAGAGCTGAAGCAATACTTGCTGTTCTCCAATTTGGGAAATAAAAACAAATTGTTGTCATTAAAAGGCGGCAAATACCCTAGAAATAAATGAGGAATATTTGAAGTTTTTCTTACCCAATTACAAAAAGTTCTTAAAGTAATTCGATGTTCTGGAGGAATAATTTCCATTGTATAAGTAGCAATCACTACCATACTTCCACCCATTAATATAGCTACAATAAAACGAATGGCCAAAAGTGTATAACCAGTAGGTGAAAGAGAAGTCATTGCAAGTAATGTAAGACCAAAAGTAAGGCAAGTAAGCCCTACAGGTTTTCGACCAAATCTGTCCGATAGGGGTGCCATTAAAAAAGTTCCAAAAAGTACACCAATAAATTGAATCTGTTGGGGTGAAAAATGTTTTTGTTGTTTTTATTAGGAGGTTTAAGTTTGTAAAACATGTTTATTTAAAAGTTTATGGTTGTTAAATGTTTTTTTCGTATGTTCGGTGTATTTGTGTTTATTAGAAGTTTCAAGTGTGTAAAACATGTTTATTTTGTAAAAGTTGTTTAGAAACATGTTTTTAAAAAAAGTTTTTATGTTTCTAAGTTTAAGTTTGTTTAAAACAATGTTTATGCTTAATCTGAACAAAACACGAAAATGTTTTGTTTTATCAGCAGAAAAGGAACAGGTCTAATGTTTGTAAAACATGTTTATTTTGTAAAACATGTTTTTAAGAAAAGTTTTGGGGGTTTTGAACAAAGTTTATTTTTAATCTGAACAAAACATCAAGTTTGTAAAATGTTTTTATTAAGATGTTTTTGAAAATGTTTTGTTTACAAGAGAAACTTACTTGACCAAAAATAGCTCTATAATAAGCCCCATAACCACAAAACCAATCAAATTCTATTGTTGCAGAGAAAAAAGGGGATTGTTCAAATTCTAAATCTTCTGAAGGACATTTTAAATATAAATTACAATCTCTATTAAATTCTGTTGTATTATTAGACAAACATTTCCATCTAGGGGTATATGTTGCAAAAATTGTAAAAAGCATTTGTGAAGCAAAAAATATAGTTGTTTGCCATCCAATAAGGACAAAAATATGAAAACGATTTAAGGTTGTTAAGGTTGAAAGGCCCATTTTTTAAGTAAGAATTTTTTTAGAATTCTTTTTATCTATTAAAAATTTTTTTAAAAATTATAAGTGGTGATTTTTGTTCAATTTTTGTAATTATTTAGTGTGTTTGTTTGGTTAGCTTTTTGTATATTAATCCTTTTTTATATTTTAAATTTTCTCAAAAAAATTTTTTGTTGTACATCCCTTATGTTAATTTTGAAAAAAATTTTTTTTGATAATCTAAGGGTTGAATAGGTTATGAGAGCGGCTTTTTGATCGTCACTCTCTATAACTGGGACCAGTGGTGAGCGCATGAGGCAATCGTGAAAAACGTAACGCAAGGCCAAAATTTAACGCGAATAACGCAACCCTCTAAACCTGGGACCAGACGTGGGCGAAACGTTTCGTTTCGTTTCGTTGTTTCGTATGTTTCGTATGATTTTTACTGTTTCGTCTCGTTTCGTTACGAAACACTTTTAAATTTGTTTCGTTTCGTTTCGTTACGAAACACCTGTGATTTTTCAACGAAACGAAACAATTTTTTAAGCCTAAACTAAGGCCAAAATCTATAAAATTTACCATCTTTTATTGAAAATTTAAAAAATTTTCGCCTGCGGCGCTGAAAAAAAAAGAATTTCGGCTTC